TTGAAGTGTATTTGCCCTGAGTCCCACGATATTTGAGGTCTGTGTTTTATTAACCAGTCCATGTCCAGTATTACAAGGTATTGCAGGTCCTTCACTAGTAGGAAAGCTGTTTGTTCGCAGTGTTTCCCAATTTGCAATGTGAGTGGAGAAGATTGGAGAGAGGAGGGGCCTCCCTGCAGGGGACGTTTTTGGATGGAGTCCACCTGGAGCAGTGTTGCCAGTGTTGAAGTAGGGAAACAGTGCTTTTGAGCAAATTCTTCATCCATGAAGGAAGCAGTGGCGCCACTATCAATTAGAGCTGTGGCTCAAATTGCAGGCTGTGAGTGTGCTTGCAACGAGATATCCAGCAGGAGGTGTTGAGCTGTGGAAGCCTTTCCCAGGGCGTGGCACCCTTGTGATGTATGGGAGGGTCCCAGTGTCACAGTGCTTAATGACGCTGGGACTGGAAGTTTCCCACCTGCTTTTTCAAGGGGCAGGACTGTGCCATATGGCCGTTATGTCCACAGATAAAGCATTGTCTGGTAGTGTGGCGGTAGGCCCTATCTCCCCTTGGAGTGTGAGGCCCAGCTGCTCCCAGCTGCATAGGCTCCGGTTCCTGCTCTGGCTGGGGTGTTGCCATGGCAACGTAGCTCTCGGGCGGGAATCGCTGGGGGCTGACTTCCGTGCGTGGGAACCATCGTTTTAGTTGGCTGTGAGCCAGCATGGCGTTCTTGCTTAGCGCAGGCCCTTTCACTGAGCCGTGCATCTATCTGGATGGTTAAAGTCTTTAACTCCTGCAAATTTTTTGGCACTGAAGTACGTGACAAATCATCCAAAACCTCCTCTCTCAAGCCCTCGTGGTATTGAACCATCAAGGCTTCCTCATTCCACCCTAAATCATTCATGAGGAGCTGGAACTTGGTGGTGTAGTTGGTGGCTGAGGCATGCCCCTGTTTCAGAAGCTTAATCTCCCATATGGCTATTTCCTTGCAAGCTTCAACACCAAGGAACTCCCCCAGGGCGTTAAGAAATCGATTAGCGTCGTTTAGTATAGGGTCTTGAGCGATAAGCCTCGCAGTTGCCCAGTGGGCAGGGGCCCCCATATGTTGATTTATTAGAAATCCTACCTTCATCTTTTCGTTGGGGAAGTCAGGAAGGCGTAGATTGATGTAGAGTTCACATTGTGCTTTGAGAGTTGTAAATCCTTTTTTGCCATCGTATTTCAGGGGGGTTTCAAGGGGGCATCTGCGTAGCGTCAATTCTTGATTTTGTTTTGAAGCAGTAGCTGTTTGAAGTTCTGTTCGAAGAGAATTTAATTCAGTTTTCAGCAATTCAATCTGGCTTGTTGCCTCGGTGTATCTTGTTCTCAAGAGGGAATTTTCTTCTCTCAAAGCTTGAAGGTCTTGAATGGTAGGGGCAGGCGACTGCATTGTTGTTGTTTGTGAAAGGTAGGAAGTTAGAATGAAATTTCTTCTGGATGGTAGAGTGGTATTGCAGAGAGAGAGAAAAAATCTTCTTTGCTCTGCTGTGAGAGAGAGTTTATGATTGTAGGACTGACATTCTGTCGTGTCTGTCATGAAAGGGTTGTATAAACATTCAACTCTCCACAGAGCTATAAAACTAAAGTTCTTTAATGTTAATTGTCTACAAGATTTATGATACTATAGATAAGTTCCCTGATAGCGGTCCCTGCAGAGCAGATGTCAGTCCTATAATGGCTTCTCTTTCTTAGCCCACGTGGGATCATTCTCCCAAGTCACGCCTTTCCTCTCTCTTACGTTGTCTGCTTTGTATTTGTTCAAATCTGCGTAAAAGACGACTGTTTTCAGCTTTTCAGAAATCTATGACACCTATAGTGTCTTCTGTTTCTGGCTTGGGGAGATCAGCGTCAGGAGGGGAGGAGGCAGTTTGCTCTGCCTCTTTCTCATGACTCTCTGTCTCTGATAAAGGTCCAGGCGTTTGCTCAATGAGCTGGGGCTCAGGGGAAGATGCAATAGCTGGTTCAGCTGTTCCTGCATTGGGTTGTGGGGGCGACTCTTGGGTGGAGGGTGCCAAGTGCAAGGTCTCCTCGCGAGTCACTGTTTTTGTCGGGGCTTCATGCACGACAACCTCCTCCATTGGTGGAGGCCTCCCTGATTTTATTCCCTATCTCAAGATCATGCTGATCATTCTGGTCTGGAGGAGGACCGCATGCTCCTGAGACTGATGGTTTTGAAGCCAGCAATTTTCAGGTACAGCACTTCTGTGTAGGACTCTTTACAGGTGCTCAGGTCTGCTGGACTCTACAGCCTCTTTGATGCGGAGGGCAACAACTCCTCCTGCATGCTGTCTCCCGTCCTCCTTGTGCAGTTTATATCCTCAGTTTATAACATGTCTGTTAAAGGTGTGGCACTTAACGCAGCATTTTGGCACATGAGGGGACATAGAAAGAACTCCCGTTAACTGAATGAACTGAAAGAACTCCCGTTAACCAAATATCATTGTCATAAATAGTATTTCCCATATGAATCACATTTAGGAAAAAAACCAGAAAAGCCAAATTTTAAAATGAAATAAAATCTGTTTATTACTTCCAGGGTGGTTAATGTAATAAATATTTAAAACATTCAAGTATAAAGTGAGGATCCATGAAACTACTAGCCTCAAGACTCTGGCTGAAAACTGTTTCAGTGAAAGAAAAGAGGGGCAGGGAACGGACGAGCATGAGACTCTTTCACAGACTTCTGTCCTATTTCAGTCTTTGGTTACTGGATTTGGTTTTTCAGCTGTATCAAGTATTCTCACAAAGCAACTTGGTTATACACAAACACATATGTCAGACATGTTACTGCTTGCAACAATCCCGTGGCCCAGAGACAAATGGGTTCTCCTGTTTTGTACTGTTTATTAATTTTATAATTCAGCCAGTTAGGTCTTTTGGAATACAGCCTTCTATTTGGATTTCAGCAGGCCATCCATTATATCGGTTCTTGTCCTTGTCAGAATGGTTGATCTGTTTAAATGACACACATAACAGCAATTCAGCTGACAGTTTAAAAATAATCTAATGATGAACATGCAAAGGCAAAAAGGAAAAGGAATACAAAATGTGCTCAGAATCAGACACCAGAATACAGCTCTCACTGCTAGTTTCTGATAAAAGGAAACACTAAAGCACACTTAACTAGGCCAGTTCTTGCTAATTTTATTGCTCCCTGTCCTTTCTAAAGGGCCAATTTGAGTAACCCATGCATGGACACTGCTTTAACATACTGCTCCTTTCCACCTTTGGTAGTGATTATTCAGGATAAAGCTATGTGTAATACACATGTGGCTGCCATCTGATATGGCACCCCCATTTCTAATGTCTGTAAGGGTCACCAGAAGAAGCAGCTAAAGTTGCCTCCTTTCCTCTTCAGCAATACCAGTTAAGGTTTCTGGGAGTTGGGGCCTTTAGACATCTCCTTCTTGGTGTCAGGCAAATTCAGCTAAATCCTGGCAGAAAAGGGATGCTTATGTCTTTGTGTTATAAAATGCCTGCACCCCTTTCTCAGAAAGCACCCAAAAGAATTCCAAGCCAGGTTCCTGTTTGGCATTTCCTGTTACTTTAAGAAGTGGGATCTGATGGCTTCATAAGAAGCTGCCAGGGCTATTGTTTTACTGATCAGTAAGAATTGGTAAGGCTGCCAGGTTAACAGCATTGCAATCGCCCTTATTTGCATGCCAAAATGCACAAAAATCCCATGATCTTTATGTTAATATCCTGCAATCAAATGCCATTGTATCGAGCCCCCTCTGCAGACCTCTCACCTTCTTCTGACTGTGTTCACCTTGTTTCGTCATCAACTGTCCAACAGATGGGCCCATGTGACTCAGAACCTATAAAATACTCTGCATATGTTCTAAAGGCTTGTAGTTGGCGGTGAGATCCACTACCTGGTAGCATGCTATTGTTAGTAACTGCAGGGACCCTGGGTGATCTTTCATAAAACTGCTGCAGTTCAAGGCGAGAGGGGTCTTTCTTAACTGAGCCTGGTTTTCTTTGTTGCGGCTGCCATTGAGGCATTCCCGACACTGGCAACACCTGGAGTAACTTCCCCACCCACTTTAACAGTATGGGGGTGTGATATGTGTGAGTGTGCAAATGTATATCAGTGTGCACACCTGACATATCAGCAGCACATTCTGGAAGTAGAATTGAGGTTAGCCATAAATATGGTAGCATATTGAGTTCTATTGACCTGGAAACTTGCAAGTATACACAAATGTATACGTTTGTCAACAGTGTTTACTGAAAATGCATGCATTTTCATACAGCAAAACTGTAGTAAAGGAGGGGACCTAAAACAGCCCAGTGAGGACTGCGCATGCTCAGTGGTCCCCATGAGCAATGGAGTGCTGAGTGTCTGCTGGAAAAGCAAGATTAAGAACAAAGAAAAGGGAGCAGGAGAACAGTGAACTGGCCTGCTTAACCTCTACCAACTTCCAGCCTAATTGGCTTGCGCTTCGAATGTGAGTGCCCGTTAGGGAGTGGGGGATGGACTGCAATGTGCCCTTGCAGGACCCACATCTTTAATACAAAAATTTGCTTCACAGAATCCAGGTATACTGTCTGTGGTGTTCCTGCTTCTTCCCAAACCTACTCCCAAAGATGGAGGGGTCTCTGGATGCCATGAGACAAAAGGGGAAACCTAAGCTGGGTGCTTTTTTGAGCATGCAAAGCATTTGATGTGCCTGGTGGTCTCTATGGATTCAGAGTAGGATTATTAGCAGACATGCAGGACGGAAAGAGTCAAACAGGCAAATTGAGTTCAAAGGGGAGATCAATTATGCTAGGTATATGTAACATTGCCTGCATTAACATTGCATGGCTCTGTCCAGAGTGGGAGGAAAATGCTTAATTTCATAAACAAAACGCAACTGCCCATTTTTCTCCTCCCACCACATTTGGAAAGGCAGAGTACATGCTCCTTCCCTCCCTTCTCTCTCCCTCTCTTCTAGAGAGAAGCACATCCTCTCTCCCCTTCTAAGATAACCAGCTGACAATGAACAATCTAACTTTGAACCAAGTTATGCTGCGTGAACATAGCAACATCTCTCCATCACGCAAGTCACATATCGATTGTTTGAGAGTCAATAAACCCAGTTATCCTTTTGTTGAGAGCCTTTCAGTGAGGACTCTAACAGATCCAGGCAAAGCAACATTCTCCTCAGCTGAACCTGCATATAACCAAATATGTAACAGGTCTCCAGCAAATTATTTTTTCTCCCAGGATGTTTTTATTAAAGTAAATCTTGAGCTTAACTGCTTGCATAGGCAGCAGATTCATTTCAAAAAATAAAGAGTGCCCCCACCCCCATGGATGCTTCCAGACAGAGTACAAAAGACATCAGGCAGCCATTTCCTCTTAATGGTTATTTTGTGGAAAGTAAAGCACAGAATATGCAGAAGCACTGCAACAGGAAGACAATGTCTTTTGCTTTCCCTGTCTCTATGACATTCTGAAAACGGGGTAGTATAATTATGCATTAAAAGCCTCATCTAGAAGAACCCACTGGCTTTTAAATTTTTACAGTGTATTTAGATGTGATTTATATTTATATGTGAATGGCTTATATTTTTATTCTAGTAAGCTGTATGCAATTATTATGGATGGATGGAGTTTTTGCTACCTATTCTATTGTTCTATTGCATTTCCACAGGTAAGATGTATTAATCAGTAGAAAGAAAAGAGGGCATATTACAATCCATGATAAAATAAACTGTCTTCACTTCTGCTAGATAACATGCTGTAAAAAAATGGCTGGATGACAATGGCAAGTTAATGACCATTTAATTAGTGCAAGAATAAGATTGCCATTTGCCCCAATGACCAGGAGCCCTCTGAGCTGCACTATATGGCCCCTGATAATTTTTGCACAGGGACCAGTTGACAAGTTACCACAGCAGTAAGTGCTCCGAAAAAGAGCCCTGAAAAGGTGATGGTGGTGGAAGTTGTTGTGTCCCCTTTGTGGAGTGGCTGGAGCAGTGCTTTTTTGTCATAGAACACACCAGAACAGAGTTCCGGCACCTTTTTTCAACAGATTTTCCAAGTTTTAAAAGTAACTTTTGAAAATTTGATGTTTGGTCCATGTGGATTTGAATTGCCCTGTCGAGCGTAGCAGGTCGGCGGCAAAATCATTAAAACGGTGCATGCGGGCCGCTTGTGTGTCGAGTCCGATGCATGCATACTTTGTTCCTTCTGGTTGTGATGGCGCTGCTCGGCCTTTGATTGGTTGTGTGGTCATGCGCTGAGTACTTACTGCAGGCGGAGACCGTTATGTTTTGTTACACAACTGACATGTGTGGATGTGTGTACAGTGATTGACTATGTGCGAAAGGTAAATAATTTCATGAGTTCTGGCACCTTTTTTCTTACAAAAAAAGCACTGGGCTGGAGACTTGGGGAAGTGGTGAAACAGTGAAAGACACTGAGAGCTATCAATTCAACATGTAAAATCAAGAGCCTTCATTGCCAATGGGGAGTGATTGTATGTTCCCCCGCCAATTTTTGCGCACCTTCCTTTGCCGGTTCCTGGCAACTGTGCACAAAATTAGCCTAGATGCAGTCTTGCCATGTCCATTCTCATGCATGTTATCTATTCCACCTAACTGCTCTCTTTCACCTTTGAAACCAGCCAGGAAATAGCTGTCTGAGTGCCCAGGTGAAAAAGATCCAATAAATGAATAAATATAAACAAATGCAGTATCACAGTTCTCATTGGCTGAAAAACATTAAAGAAATGATCCTGATTGCACTTTTGGTGGTTTTAAAAAAGAAAGGACAGGACAGATCCAGTACCAAATGGAGCAGGGAGGAGGAGACAAGATGGATTACTTCTGCAATAGACACTGGGATACAAGCAGGAGGACCAAGGGGGAAGGAAGGGGAGAGGAAGCCATGGTGATTCTGGTCAAATGGGGCACACCAGGTGTCATTCCACAAACATTTAGCATGTTGCATGCCCACTCCCACCACCGCTTCGACTGTATAGGCTTCAACCAGACATCCCAGTGAACACTGCAAAATGTGAATACAGAGCATTTCTGCACTGCCTGTCTCCAATCACTACTTGGCAAGAGTCAAGTACAATGATGGCAAATTAATTTCATCTAAGCAATTCATACACACCTTGAATGTGTACATTTACAAATACACACACATATAGACATAGCTACTGCAGGAGAACCCTCTCTCCTTGGACAGCTGCAAATACAGTGTCCTTTCCTTTCCATTCTGTAATAGGTGAAGCTCTCTGGGCAGTTAACAACAATGCATGCAATACAGTAACATACAAAAATATAATACCACAAAGCAGCATAACATTTCAACGTTTCAAACCATATATACAAACATTTGAGCAACTGCAACAAATTCAGGGATCTCTCCCCTAAGCTGTGCTTCCAAACTGCAACTTCTGCCTTGCTCTTAAAGTTTCTGGGGGTGGGAAGCAGAGAGAATGGCTTCCCCTTGAAGGGACAGGACCTGTTCCGTGAAGCAGCACCTCCCATCACTTCTGCTCCAGAAGGATTATCCTCTGAGCCGAGAGGAGCTAATGTGAGATGCCACCCCTGGACTAACAGCAGTTCTTGCAAGCAGTAATTTTTAGCAGTACCTTGACAGAAGAGTGGGGCTAATCCTTACACAGCTATGACAGCCATTTGTTTTGTAAAGAGCACATACTTATTGCAGATTTACAACTAATGTCCTATTTGTTTGGCCATGTCACTTTTTAAAAAACTGGCTCTGCTCCTGTCTTTGACTACAGCCTCAGGCAGACATTTGGTAGAGCAGTTTTTCTTTCATAGAAAGTGAGGGATAATGTTCATAGGCTTGTGTCCGGATACAACTAAAAAGAACAGAACAGACTGAATAAAAATGAGGAGAATCCTTCTTGGAGATGACTGGCACAACTTTTAATCGCACACAGCAAGCAATCACAGGGGTGTATTCTAACTTGGATTTATTAACTTTAAAAAGCCTTACCTTTTCCTTTTCCAAGTCTTCTGGCAGCTTAAACCCCTTAGCAGCTATGAAGACCCAGCTTGATCTGAATTTCAGGTTCCATATTTCTTTACTTCCTAGTTCTGCTATTGCCTTTTTCCCATTCTCCTTTAACCTGTGAGACACATGTACAGGATAATCTCATGATGCCTTCTTAGCAAGCCATGACCAATCCCTTATCTCAAGAGTCTAGGACGCAGTGTCCAGGAACAGTGAATGGCAGCTTCTGCTTCAAGACAGAGATAAAGAGGGGTCAAATGCTCTTCTAATTCCTTGATGAAAAGTTGTGTAAATGGGCAGAACTACTGAATGCACTACCAATATATAAAGTGAAGAAAGCCATTTCTTTTCTTCTTTCTACAAGTCTGTAAGGCAGAACTGTTGATTATCTTAAAAGCAGGGACTTTGTTTTGTTTGCTTACCTGGTGCTTCCTTCGTCATGGGTCACCATAAACAGCAGAGATCCCTGTGGGGCCTTTCTGATAAAATCAGCCATTGCTTCAGAATAATCTGTTTGTGTGGGAGAAGAATGATTTAGTTAGAACATAAGAGCATAAGAAAAGCAATGCTGATCAGACCCAAGGTCCAGCCAGTCCAGCACTTTGTACACACAGTTGCAATCCAGCTGCCCACAGGCACCCTCAAGCAGGATGGGTGCAAGACCTCCTCCTGCCCAGCTGCTCAGCAACTGGTGCAGGCAGGTATGCCACCTCTGGTCAAGGAGGTAGCACAGAGCCAGCAAGGCTAGTAGCCATTGAAGCCTCCTCCCTTATGAATCTGTCCAATACCCTTTTAAAGCCATCCAAATCAGTGACCATCACCACCTCCCATGGAGAAAATTCCATAGTTTAACAATATATTGTGTGAAGCACTTCCTTTTATCTGTCCTAACCCTCCCACCAACCAGCTTCATGGGAGGAACTTGGGTTCTCTCTACTTCCTCTGCTCCATGCATTATGTTAAACGCCTCTGCCATGTCTCCTCTCACTCACCTTTTTTCTAAGTTAAACAGTCTGTTCCAACCCCCTGATCATTTTTGCTGCCCTTCTGTGTACTTTTTCCAACTCACTAATGTCCTTTTTCAGGTAAGGTGACCAGAAGTGAACTCAATATTCTAAGTGTGGTCATACCAAAGATTTGTATAAGAGGAATAAGATCTTGGAAGTTCTATTTTCTATTCTGTTAATTATGCCTAGCATGGGAATTTGCCCTTTTCACAGCAGCTGTGTACTGGGCCGACATTTTCACTGAGCTGTCCACCACTACTCCAAGATCCTTTTCTTGCTCAGGCACTGCTAGCTCAAATCCCATCACCCTGTACTTGAAGTTGGAGTTTTTGACCCAACACGCATCATTTTACACTTGCTTACCTTTGTTTGGTTATTTTTTGTTCCCTCATGTAATTTCTACACTTCATTTCATTGAATTCTATTATATTTCCATACCATTCCCTATGGCCAAAGCTCTTGGGGAGGTTTACCAAGATTTACAATTGTATACATAATAGAAACATATTTATATATAAACAGACAACACACACACATACACACCTTTAACAAGCAACCATAAAGATCACAGGACCTTGTATTACCCTCTGAAAAGCCTGGGAGGAATATCTTAACCTGGTACCAAACATCTGTCAGAGTTGGCACTAGACAGGGCCTCTCTGGGGACAGGATTCTATAATTTCGGCAGTGTTTTGTTTACAGTGTCAGTTTAGACATTATTCTGTTTGGCTCTGCTGTTCATACAGAATAAAGCACGGATGTTTCTTGTTCTTTTCAGACAAAAGGCAGTCACAAGAAATCTGGGAGGAGGGTTCTACTCTTGGAAAAGAACACTCTCAGCTTCCACATGTGGAAAGAGGGAAAGAGATTCCTCCTTCCCTTTGCATTGACCATACCATCAACCAGGCTGTCTGGAGACTGTGCAGACAAGTATAGGTGGAAAGTAGCATAAACCAGCTCCCGCTCTTTCTGTTCATGGAAGCCTCTGCTGGATAAAGCCCCTTTCATAAATGAAGGAGCACATTTAGGGACAAGATGAGAAACAATATTCAGACTGCACTTCGAGAGTTTTCAGAGAGGACTGTATCAAACAAGTACACACATGGTGTTGTCACCTACAGAGTGACTTACTGGCATAAATCAATCCTTTTCTTTTTCTGCTTATTTTCTTTTTGTAACTTTTTGTATTTTTCTTTTTGTAACTGCAACACGGATATGTTTTAGCATATATCCTCTGTTTATATTTCTGATAAATGATACGTTATATAACCTTTATCGTATTAGACATTTATTAGCATTTAGTCAACATGCAAGAGGCATGTACCAACCTGTTTTTGTGTGTGCTTGATTGTTACTGGAAGATTGTTTTAAAAAAAATTAAAGGTTAAAAAAAAAAAAACCAAAATCACACGCTCTTGACAAGAGGCATTCTAACACTAGTGATATTTTATAGCTGCCATTGCTGCTCTGTGACTGCATGTTTAACAGCAGCCATTCCGATATGCTGACATTGAGCACAAGTTTTTACCTTACCTCCTCCCCATAGGTCAAAATATGTTGTAGAAATGACTTTTCCAGTGTTATCTAAAAGAAAGGAAAAGAATTTTTAAAAATGGGAAAGTAGATTGGAGGGAAAAGGTTTTTCTGTTATTTTCCATAAGCTGCAACTTGCACAGTTAGGAATGCCCAGAGCTGTGAGGGATGTGCCCATGTGCAGTTCAGCACATCAGTCTGAGCAGGCCTTTACAGCAGCCGTTGAGCAGAATGATAAAAAGATCCTGAGCAGCAACTCCTGTGGCCACAAGACAGTTACTCTCACCGTTACTGCCCAAACACAACTCTGGCTGCTTTCTTTATATTTTAACCTGATCCAGAAGCTCTGGATGGATAAAACATACCAACATTAACAACAGAAATGCATAAAATTAATAAATAAAACTAACAAATATTACATCATCTTTGATGCATTCGAGCTAGTTGATTCCCTAAGAAATTACCCATATAATCCAAGGCACTTTCATAATGAGATGATTCCCACATTCTGCCTTCCTACTGGCTTCATGACTGGCTTAGGTGTTTTCACTATCTAGATTTAATTCAAAAACATTTTATTTCACTTGAAACACTTAAGGTGTTGCATGTTTAGACAGGAAAATGTCCTATAGTCATTCTGGAAGGGATTTTTTTTTCTAAATGTGCACAAGATTACATCTCTGCTTCCTTTGCAAGACATTTTTATGTGGTGAGTCCTAAATCTGAATGCGGTGACCTGTGGGCATTTTTTAGCTGAGCAGTAAAAGTGAAATGCAGTCAAGGGGGTAATCCTATGCAATAAATTTCTTGGCTGGTATGCTGGGAGATATAGGACATTTTTCTGTCTATACATGCATAGAATTGTGCCCTAGTCCACTCAAAAATCCCAAGTTTGAAACTGATATTCAAAATAGTTGCAAGTAAAATCCATTCTGCAGTTGCCTGCAGATTATCAAAATCTGCCCTGTGATTTTTATCAATTATAAAGCATGAAACTACTAAGTAAAATAAGTAAGAATAAAATATTGCAAAATCAGGATATCTGCCCCAACATCTTCCAAATACATTGCAAAACAGTTTAAAAACATTCTTTACATAGCACATTTCAGAATACATTCTAGATAATACCACAAGGCATGTAGGCTGCGATAAGATTGCATAGCAAGTGAAAGGCATGGGCATTTCAGCTGAGCAAGTCCTGGTTCAAAGTTCTGTTTTGTAGCCTCTGAGCGCTACTAGTTCAATATTTCAGTCTGGACATAGCAGCTTAAAAATGCACAATTGTATACAGTGGTGAATGGTGCCTATCCACCAGTGGAGTGAACACGGCTGGCAGAAATGAGTCCCTCTGCAGCCCTCTGCTCTAGGGGGATGGAAGAGCCTCTGGAGAGATGGGGTGGGCATACCAAGGGTGCGAAGAAGTTGGTGAAGTCCTGCTGGAGAACAGAAGACAGCTCACATGTGTGGCCCGAGGCCTGTGCCCTTTTAGAGTTTACTTACAGTTCACAATGGCAATATTGATTCCTCTTCCGACATTCCCCCTTTCTTCACTAATGAGTCTGAAATTGAAATATAAAGCATCAGTCTGGGAAGTATGTCACACAGGACTTTCCTGTGCAGGGGTGTGGAGTTGATATAGAAAACCTTCGACACCAACTCCACAATTTATGGTACCTTTGACTCCAACTCTAACTCCTTTATTATATCTCAGTATAGGAGTATACTAGTTATTTCCTATAATGACTGAAAGCACTCAACCTACAAGGTATTTGATCACTGCCAAGGTGAATCATCAAGCTACTTTAGAACCCTAACCTGTTAAAGTTTGGGTCTAAAGGTTATAGCTATGCTATGGTGGCTGTTTTAGTTTATTTATTAAAGAAATTACAAACAATCAGTAACATTACATTTTAAAGAAAAGATTAAACTTAGTAAATGACACATAGTAAATACACATAATATTTCCCATCTGTTGTTATTGTAAACTGTTCAGAAACAGCCAACTTTATTGACACTTTTTTGCCATTGTGAATTTTTCATGGGGCACCATTTTTATTCTTATTATTATTATTTAACACTTTTGTATAACTTCACAATAGCCACATGGTGCTCTGGACAGTGTACACAATAAAATATCAACAATAGAACCATTAACCATTCACTCATATATGAAATATATATATTTTCATATATCCTGAAAATATAACCTGAAAAATAAGTTAGGCAAATTATCTGTGAAACAGGAAATTTCATCATATTATTTATATTGCAATTTAAATTTATTAGGAGGCATAATCAGTACATTTTTACCAACTGTGACTCTAACTCCAGTTGCGGAAGAATTGCTTCCGACTCCAACTCTGCTTCTCCTGGTCCATAATTTTGAAATAAATGGCTTAACAGATGAGGGAGCTGGAAGCTTCAGAATCACAAAAAACCATTTTAACACAGCAGATTTTCTAGGAAAAGCTGAATTAACACCCTTAATTTCTGGTAGGAAAATGTATTCTTTACAACAGCCAATAGAGAACAACAAAATATGCAAACTATGAAAGGGGAAAGCATGGTGATAAAGAGTCTGGTGCACTCAAGACCATCTCCCTTTCTTAACTCTGGCTAAACAGCTCCTTCCTACCACACTTCTTTCTGAAGATTCATCATGTATTTTGCCACCATTATAGGCTAACTGCTTCCAGGAACAGCCAGTGCCCCTTCTTCAGGCAGAAAATTAGAATACATAGAGACAGGGCAAATCTGATAAATGATTTAAGTGGACTGAGAAAGCGGTGTCATCTCAAGTTGTGTTTCTGCCAGCAAAGCAATAAGAGAATGCAATGTTGCTGCCTGTGATGAAATTAACTATTCAACACACTAATGCAATATTTGTGTCAACCCACTTTAAACTATTGAAGAAGAGGAGCTTCCCCCCACACAATATTTGGTACTCACAGTTCATCTTCAAAGCAGATTTTTGCCAGCTTCTCTGTGCCCCCACCACTGAGTAAGCGAAAAGCATAGCTTCCAGACTGGCACGGAGACCAGTGGTCACACTTGAGCCTTTTTGGGGGGGGCACTGCAATGAAAACAAAGAGGAAGTCTTGGTACCATCATTCAAACTTGAAAATTAGGAGTTACACGTGTCTGTTTAAAACAGTATATCAAGTTCTAGTTTTATTGCATTTGTTTTCAATGTTTAAATCATTTTACATTTTTGTGTATCGAATGCACATGGACTCCAGTGTCTAATGCCCAGAGTATTGGAAGCAAACTGCATGAACCTGAAGTCTTAATACAGGAGGGCAAATATGACTTGACAGATTTAATTGAAACTTGGTAGGATGAGTCCTATGACTGGAATTCAGAAAGTGGAGGATGTAACTTGTTCAGAAGAACAGAAGGAATACAAAGGGATGTGGGACATGTTATATGTTAAAAGTGCACAGAATTACAGGAAGATAAGCTAAATTACCCCATCAAGAGCATCTGGATAAACAAGAATTGAGCAAAGAAGAAGAACATGATGGTTGGACTCTACTGCCAAACATCAAGGAGAACAATCTTTCGAAAACCACATTGCCAATGTTTCGAGGAGGCGTGATGTAGTTGGGGGACTTCAATTTGCCCAGTATCTGGTGGGAGACACATCCTGTCAAACAGGGATCTTCCAATGAAGTTCTGACTTGCATGGCTGATATCTTCTTGCTACAGAAAGTGGAGGAAGGCACTAAAGGATCACCTATCCTTGACTTACTTCGAACCAACAAGGATGATCTAGTGGATACAGTTAGAAGAACTCTGAGGGAAAGTGACCATGTTGTATTTGAATTTTTGATTCTAAAGGAAGTGAAAACTGAGTGTAGCCAAGTGCATATCCTAGATTTTAGGAAAACCAATTTTAATAAACTCAATATTATTCTGATATTGGTCTGCTGGCAAGAAATTATAATAAAAAAGGAGTCCAACACTGGTGGGATTTTTTAAAGGAAATTCTGAAGACTCAATCACAAACAATTACAAAAAGAAGAAAAGGTAGAAGACAACAAAAGAAGCCAATGTGCCTTCAGATAAAGCTTAGAGAAGATCTGAGAACAAGAAAAAAGGGGGGGCGGGGGACCTAAAGGAAGTGGATGGAAGGCGAGGCTACAAAGGAAGATGAAATGCAGGAAGCACAGAATTGCAAGGATGGATCAGGAGAGATTGAGCTGAGGTTAGTGAGGAAACCCAAACACAACAAACAAATTTTTCCTCAGATATATCCATAGTAGAAAACAGCAGAAAGAGATGGTGTTCCACTACCAGTGAAGATAGCAAGATCATAACAGATGATAGAGAAAAGGCAGAAATGCTCAATTCCTACTTTGGCTCAGTGTTCTCCCAAAAGAGGTTATATAGGGTTAAGACTGATAGGCAACTGGTCAAGGAGGATCTCATTACTCTGAACAAGTTCAGATCCCCAGGACCTGATTAACTTCATCCTAGAGTAATAAAGGACCAGGCAAAAGAATTCTCAGGACCAATGCTCAGCATCTTTGAGAAATCATTCATACTTGAAGTAGCACAGGAGTAAGCAGTAACCATTCGGCAAAAAGGCAAGTTAAAAGGCAATGCATTTTAAAATATGTGCAGCAGAATGTGAACACATACCCTTAAGCTTTGGTTTTTCTCCAAGATTCTGAAGATTGTCAAAAGTTGATATGAGTGATTCTTCAGGTACCATATATGCAAATAGAGATCCCATGTACCAGGCACCGAGAGATGCCAGTATAAATCCTGCTAGCTTTACAAAATCTGAAAAAGAAAGAGATGAGAAAATCTTCATTGGCCTAGACTCTGGAAAGGAAAAATGCCCAACATTTAGACTACATTTCTATAAAATATTTTAACACTCATGTAACTCAGGAGATGGTCCCAAAAGATACAAGACACCAAACAGATGACAATCTGTTATTTTACTTAGGCTGGTACAGCAGTGAACAGCTTTTAAGTGGGTCAGTCACTATAGATGTTCATGAAGAATTAAGTCCCACCAATTTCAGTTAATTTACTTCCAAATAAAAAGTCAGCAATGTCAGCCCTAGTTGTTAAAGGACACTCTACCATGCTTTGTAAAGTTCATGTTTTCATACAGTTGAATGTGCCAAGGTTGGGAGTTGAAATGGTGCAATGAGCTTGTTTCCTCCTTCAGTGCATGTAGACCTAACAGATGAATAGAGCTATTGCACTAGGACAAAGCTGCAACAAATCCCAGTTATTATTCCGACCATCAGGACTGATATTACGCAGGATTAAAGTACATCTGTTTTTTTGTGTATCACTGGATCTTACCAGACCCTCACATGATAGAAATCAAATCTGTGTTTGTGGTTAGCAAAAACAGTGATTGAAAAATCAACACAAAAGTGTACAAATCTTCTCAGAGACTCATAGAAGGTGCCTATGCCAACACATTATATAATAAATTATATTAATATAGTTACCTGTGCCAAAATATTATTATCCAGATTAGGGTATTTATTGCTAATGTGATTATATTTGTGTTCCTTGTAATGCTTTGTTGTGTAATGTATGGAGAAAAACTATACAAACAATATGACTACGATTAAACTGACCATCCTAATTCTAGTTCACCTTCTACACACTATCCAGCAATCATCTCATTCATGTAAGTAGAACTATGCATAAAATTAAAGAGTAACTCTATGGTTTTGGACAAAGAAATGTATCAACAACTGCCAAAGTGCGCCTGTAGATTATTTGCTGGACCAACCAAATTTGGTGCACGTGGCAGTGGTCACAATGGCAATAAAGGTGCAGAAAGTCTGTGTCCACCTTCTACATGCCTATCTAGCCAGTCTCACTCATGGAATAAGATGGTATAAGGAGTGTGTGAGAATCTCAGATTACATTACATAGTGCTGACTATATGCACTCTCCTTTAAAATCTGGGAGATCCTATGCACGTTAGGCGGAAAAATGTCCTTAAATTCTCAGTATTTTGGACATGCTGGCTACTTAGCCAAGAGTCTAAGTAGGCCCACTGCCCCTGCAGAATATCCCAGTTGATTGCAAATATGTCTGTCTTCACAGGAACTAAAAGAAGAAAGTTGTTTCCAATGTGTTTTGCAGAAGACTTTTTCCAAGAGGAAGTGCCAAATTTACTTCCATGCAGACAGTCTTCTTAAATGAGAGGTGGCTTCAGGAGAGAGGAAAAGAACAGTGGGAAATCTTATGCTCTCTTGATAATTCTGTGCAAGTCTTCAACCATGCCAAAGACTAAGTGTGAGATTATGACTTCTAGAGCAATACAAGCGTGAGAATCTTCCTGGAGAATATAGAACAAAAGGCAAGCCACACTGCTCAAATTATAGCAATATGTGCAATTGGTGCAGTGATGACAGAAATGCTCTTAAGGTGCAGAAAGAATATGACATCAGATGCAACTTGTATCTTCCCCAATTAACAGTCATCTTGGAAAAGTTTTCACCCAGTGGACCACAAATTCTTTTTCACTGTGTTCATGGTACAGTAAAGCCTTTCACACCAAAACTGGTCTCAAGGCTGACAGCAATCACCATCTGCCACTCATAAAGTTTATAACTATACTCAGTGGTCCAACCCTCTCACAATTCCTTTTTGTGGCAGCTATTTAATCTTAGGGTGAAGCAAGGCAGGTAGGTGCAAAGAGCAAAGCCCTTAATGGACTGCAGTCTTTCTCCTCCTTTCTCTGGAGGAGCTGTGAGTATAGAATAAGACCAAAATGAAACTGAAAAATACAAAGAGCTACAGGAAAAGAAGAATCTTTGCGAGAATACAAGGAAGTGCACAATTGCAGGAAGTGTCTAAGTGAGGTAGCAAAATATCTGCACTGGAAGTATCTGAACCAAAATGACACACACGGGGGAGCTAAAGTATATACAAATATCTAGAGTTCAGGTACACAGGATAAAACTTTTTTAAAAGCACAAATCTGCATATGCTATTTTACATGTTCTGAAAAGGGTGCTTTTAAGGACCCCCTCTTAGACACCAGTGTTTATAAAAAGTGACATACGGACACAGGAGAGCAATTCAGGGAAAAACGTCATGCAGGACGATTCCTGAAGGGTGACAGTGGGAGGAGGTGAAGCCCGTATGGGCTTCACTTCATCTAGGTGCATGAGATAATCAGGACCTTTGTTTCAGCAAGTGCTCACGGACAGGAGGGGGATGCAGCAAGTGCCAAATGAAAGATTCAGGTCTGCAACCCTGGTAGACCAGCATTTTAATCTGCACTCTCATGATTGCTAATTCTTTTCCTGAGCAGCAGAATACAAATGACAGTTCAACTTCATCCCCATTCCCATGATTCGAGAAGGAATACTCTCATAAAAGTTACACTGTCTGGCGACCCAAGGAAGTTATAAGGAAATATTACCGATATGCAAAAACCACGGGATCGGAAAGAAAATCGAGGTAGTCCTGCATTCTTTTCCCGCCGCGATCCACCCGATGCTTCTGGGAAACTCCTAAGCAGGACATGAGTGCAAAGCACTCTCTTGCTTATGTTTCCCAGCAGCTGGTATTACAGCTGCCTCCTCCACGGAAGGGAATACATACAGCTATCAAGAGTACTTAGAAAAAACACTTCCATATACCGTACCCGATTCCCGGCAAGAGGCTCCATTGCAACACCCTCTGTCAGACAGAACCGATTCCCTCTATCCCTAGGAGAGGGCTTACTTTCTAAACCGAGGGATGTCAAAGCATCCCACCGCGAATCACGCCCCTCCCACCGAACTGCTACTAGGAAGGCTCAGAGGCTACGCGCTGCAAAGTAAGTCCCGAGCGAGAGGGGCAAGCGAATTTGCGCCCTAAGGGGAAAGAGAAAGAGCCCCGCCAGTCAAGGAGGGTGGCTCGAAAAAACGGCAAGGCCCGGCATACGGGAATCGGAGGACACGGAGAAAGTTGGTGCCTGTACTACTCACTGTTGCAGCCCATTCGCATGTTCAGCAACGGCGCGCCTTGGCGGGGGTTCCCGCCGCTTCCCGATTTTCTGTGTGCAACTGCAGACAAGGAAAGGACGTGGTCAGATTTTGGCACTCCGTCTCTTGTGCCGGTAGTTGCGGAGGGAGGCGGCTTGACCTTTTTTCCCCTTTGCCTTTGCGACACCTGCCTGCGGCCTTGTCAACGCCCTAAGTCACCGCCGCTGGAGCGGAGGGAAAGGCGGCAGCGCGGAGCCGTTTCCCCGCCAGGGGGCCGAGGGCTAGGCGTCTTCTTGCGGGAACAGGAGTTGCCGGAAAGGTGCACCACCATCCGGGAGGGTGGAAACGAGACGCGCTGGGGAAAGGGAGTTACTCTGGAGCCTTTGTGACGAACGAGGTGACAGTAAGTTAAGCCCGATGCCCTGTCCGGAAAAACAGGCTTTGCAAATATACATCTTCACCCGCCACGCGGAGAAATCAGGGGCGTGATTCTTCGCAAGTAAACCCGGCTGTGTTCAAGGGAGCCTGGCTCGCTCCCTCATGTGCTGCAGATATGCAAGCCTCAGAAATAGGCTAGGTCTGTCACAGCGTTGGGCTGTCTCATCCTTTTCCAATCTGGCACCTTTCAAAAGTGCTGGACTACAATTCTCATCCGCCCCGACCCCGCTAGCCTGATGGTAACTTGTACTCCGCTGAGGGCGCAGGGTTGCAGAAGGCGTCCTAGCGTTTCCGCAAGCTTTTCTTTTGCCTTACGGTGCAAACCCTGCAGAATTGGAGAAATAGGAACTGAACTCATCTAGGGGCTGGAGCGAGTCCCCTTCCAAGAGAGGTTGCAACAGTGGGTTTGTTGCTTTGCTTAGCTTAGGAAAAAGGTGAGTAAGAAGAGACATGACAGAGAAATATGCAGAATAATACAGAAATATACAGAGAGCAGATAAGGAGACATATTTCTCCCTCAGCCACAGCCTTCAGTTTACAAGAGCTGAGCAGGGCTGTGAAGGACAGCACGGAACAGCAAAGAAGAGCCCATCCCATGAAACTGCTTGGTAAGAGATGCAGAACAAATAAAACATACAGCACACCGTTCATCTATGGAATCACCTCCGTGAGATGTAGTGATGGCCACCAAACTGGATGGCTTAAAAAGGGGATGGGGCAAATTCATGAAGGAGAAAGCTATCAATGCTAAATCTGAACTCTGGTATCAGAGGCAGTGTGCCTGCCCTGCTTATCGGTTTCCCATGGCCTGCTGGTTGGCCGCCATGGGAACAGAATGCTGAATTAGATGGACCTTGGTCTCAACCAGCATGGTTCTTATGTCTACCCAAAGTTCTACTGAGTTCTGGGGGACTTACTCCCAGGTATGTGTTGTAGCTCATTCAGTATGTGGCATTTCTAAAGCTAGAATTATTATCATCTCCTTCGGAACAGAGTTTAGGCAGGATATTATCATCATTATCATTATCATTAATTGACTCACAAAAGAGTTGTTCTGAGGAGTCTGAGCACCACTTGACTGCATTAAAATGAAGCGTAGCATGTTTCAAACCCGATAAAGATCAGACGAAGGGGCACTAACTTAGTGAAATAGTGAAGGAGGACCAGAGGATGGTAACAAGGAAGAGATGGGTCCTTTTTAGCAGTAATCCCCAGTTTGAAATGCTCCTCTTGATGAGGTCTACCTGGGACTCAGGTTGTCATATTTTCAATGCCAAGGTAAGACTTGCCTCTCCTATCAGACATATTGCACTGTATCATCAGGCTTCTTACTTTAAATGCTTTATCAGGTCTTGGAATGTTGTTAATTAATTCCAGCTGTTCAAGGAAATAACCAGTGTGGAAAGAACTACAGCTCCTTTGTGGGATTAGGAATGCAAGCTTGGGGGGTGGTAAAAGAGGGTATTTCTGTAAGAGGGGCCAAACTGGGGAGGTTGAGATATTCTGAAGCAAGTCCAGCCTCCCTCACTCCACTTCCAAAACACTGCAACTAGACAAGTGAAAAAGTCTGGCTAGCGAGCATGCACTGGAAGGATGGAGAAGCAAAGATCATTTCCATTACTCCTGCTCTGCACCAAAAGCATGTAAGCCTCTAAGTCTGGGGGCCCAGTAGCATCCTGATGGGATTGTACCTACACTGTTTACATTTTATGAATGTTTTAATTTCTAAAACACCTTGAAAAACAATGCTCTTTTTTCAGGACTTTGCAAGAAAAAAGTTTGTTTTATAAATAATATAGGCTTTTTATAGTTAGGCCAAAAATAATTATATAGACCCCATTTCTAAGTAAAAATCTATCCTTGAAATCATTTATTTCCAAATGAAAACCAGAACAAAAGAGTAGCCCTGAAGATCTATTACATCGTGAACCTTCCCTAAGAGCAGAACAGAATGGTCTGTTGTAGTTTATGCCTCGACATTCTTTTGTATTATGAATTTATGTTATAGTTGCAGGCTGCTTAAATGGCAATGCTTTGGGCATTAACTTTAAATAAGGAACAGGGTTTTTTAAAAGTGTGCCCTCTGGAAGTTTGTGCAAGATCGCCACCTTGTGTGATATATACTCAGCTTTAGATTTGCAGACTAAACATTCTGAATAGGCACTGATTTCAGCAAGACCAGGATTTCTCCCAGTGATTTCTCCAGTCTCATTTGTCTGAAAGCCTGTGTGCATTTGCAATATGCCAATCTACCCTGGCAATGCGCCGCAGTGAGTTTCTTGTACGAAGAACATAATGCACCTAATGTGGATTGTTTGTCCCTTCCTTTCTCCCTAGTTCTCCTACAGGGGGCACTGCATCCTCTACCCAATTATGAATCATTTTTGGCTTCCAATGGCTTTCTGTCCCTTTACCTATTTTTCCTGAAGACTGCAATACAAGATAGCAATATGTTCCTATCAAAAGTAACCCGTTGCCCTGTCAAAACCCCATTTTAAAGGGTGCTCAGGATTTTCCCCACATCTTCTTTCTCCCAGAAAAAGGGATGAGAATAGTTCTGTACTTTCCTGAGCTGCTAGAATCTCAGGAAAAAGTGTAAAATGTGTATCACCCTCAGAATTGTCAGGACAAAATAAAAAGTTAGGATTGTACCATGAAGGGGGCATAAATCTTATCACATGCTTTTCATAAGCAAGATCACTTGCACCCTCACTTTCCCTTGGCAGCTTGCCTTTTGACAGCTCTCAGGAGAAGCCAGAAAAGGCCCATCTGGAGCCTCTTTATGTCATTGACCAGAGTTGGTACCTACTAAACTCTATCAGTAGGTACCCCCTGACATCGCCCAGACAAGCTTCCTGATTTCTGCACTCATGCAACCATTCCTTAATTAAAAGGTCGTTTTTGAGGGCGGGGTGCAGACTGTATGCACAACTAAAAAACTTTGGCCACCGACAGCCTGTCCAGGTTGCTGCTTAGGCTCTTTGAAGGCGGTATCAGTGATGTCCAAACAGAGGTCACAAAAACCAATGCCAGTCACTCCAAAGTGCCACATGGGCATTTGTGGAACAGCTGACATTGAAGTGTCCTGGCTGAGTTATGTAAGAACAGCAATGCTTTGTTTTGTTTTGTTTTGCTGCTGTTGCAAAGCAGCTCAATAACTGTTTCCTGGTTTCGGGTTGGTCCTCTGGGCTTGGACAACATGACAACCAAGCATGGTTACAACAACCCTATGAATACAACAACCCCATATGGCTTCTTGCCCTCAGATAAACCACCCTGTGCTAATTGGCCCAGATTTACATGTCACCACGATAACAATGCACTTTTTTGTGTCATGCAAACCCAGTCCATGTAACAGACTTACAACGTATTCAAAAGCAATTAGGCTATATAGGTAACAACTGGCTAGTTTGAGAATAGCAAAGGAATGCACAAAGGCAAAAGACAACCATGATACATTCAGGGCTGGCCCAGATGTTGCTGCCTGATCTAGAGCAACAAACAGTAACACATCCCTACCCCACAAGTTATGGTGTACAGCAGAAACCTTCTAATGTTGCATACATAACTGTTTAAACAAGGCACCATGCACACTTAAGGCATGGCAGAAATAATAACAAAGGGATTAAGGATGTGCTCATGCACACATTGGGGTTAGATTTATTAATTTAAATCAGAAAGATTTTTAATATAGTGCACATCTGAGAACAGAGCAACTTAAATGTACAGAAAAAGAAACTGACAGTTAAAAATGTGTTAATAACAGACAACTTTTCTGGCATATTATAAAATACATTAATCCAAGATTTTGGCCTCCATTATATTTCAATATTTTTATCAGAAAGCATCCAAAATATTCCAAATGGTGTACAGGAATGAAATATAAGAAACTTCCTGCCTGCAGGCTCACCATCTAAAAGGGATAGTACAAAAGGTAAAAGGAATGGGGAGGGAAGAAGAAAGAAAACAACTTCAAGTACCAGTTCTTTGAATTACAAAATCTCAGCAATATCATCTAACCAGTACAGGTGAACCTCCCTGCCCTTAAATATGCAACCCAGCAATTGTTTACCCCCTGGCCGATAGCAAAAGCCAGGATGCAATTTCCTTCAACTCTGTAGACCCAGAACAATAGATTTACTTTCCTTTTTATCTATCCAGATCTTAAGCTGTTTGCAAAGATAAAGATATTTACCAACTTACACAAGTCTAGCTTCTCCATAATTGCTAAGGGCTGCTTCATACAAAACAGTTGTTATATAGACCCTTAGGATTGCTTATGTGTAATGGTTGCTTCACACAGTGAGCGATTATGTACAGGAGCTTGCCACGGGACTGGGTCCTATTGCAGTTTATCGCTGTGCGGCCATCAAACATCTGCGGCTGCAGATATGCTGAGGCAAAGGACACTGTGTAGGTTATGTGGCATCTTAGCACACACAGCCCAGCTCACTACATAGTTAGCGCAGGCCAGGGAGTCCCAGCCCTTTTGGGCCAGGGGGCACCTTTGGGCATTGAAGAAACTGCTCTGAGCACCACCACAAACTGGCTCACATGGAGGATGTAGCTATGCACAGAGTGGCTGTTGTGGCTGGGAATGGAGAAGGAGCAACGGGGAAAGGTCTGGGTGCCCGACATGCTCTGCATGGTCTAACCGGAACTCCTCTCTGCCTGCTGACCAACAGCTGATAAGCAGCAGGTTCAGGAAAGAGAAGCTGATGACCTGACTTTTTTCAAGGTTTTTTAAAAAAATGTTTGTTTTGAGGGAAGGGGAAGTAGAATGCTTTGTGGGTACAATGGGAGTTCTCTGCAGACTCTGCTTAGGACTCTCTGCAAGAGATCAGCATGAGCCAATCACAGCAACAGATATCAGCTTCCGTTAGAGTTTGTCTTCCTGAATGGCAGGGCTTACTTTCCAATTACTCCCTTATTCTGTTACAAAATACACACATTCTGGGCTGTTGGGTAATTTTACTCCTTCCTAACATGTCAAGTTTCCTTTGTGGCAAAGCCAAAATATCAACATGCGCTTCTGTTTACAGTATATCATGCTCTTTTCTCTCCACCAAGAGTCAAGGTAGTTAATTGTTTCAAGGCCACCCTCTGGCTTAATCGCAAACAAAACAATGTTGTTCTCACTACTGACTATGGCACACAGCAAGTCCCCATGATGTTGGGTTTGTTTTATTGGAGTGTGATTTTGGTTCCAACAATTTATGCTTTCAAAGCCATCAGATGTCTCCTAAGATGTCCCCATTCTCATACATATCATTTCTTTGGATTGTTTCAGTTCAACATAATCCTGTTTTTCTATTTGCTTGTATTGGGCAACATTGCATAGACTAGTTCATCTGACACTATGGAGAGAGAACAGCAAGCCTATATGATGCATCTGTTCCTGTTGAACACTGCTTCGTGCAACAAAATGCTCCAGGATTTATTATTTTTAACATGTGAGAGATTTCAACCATTCAACCCCCCTCCCCTCATTTAGCATATATCCTATCAAATTGATAATCATGCACAATTTCAACATACCAGTAAGGCAGGGGTGTTAAAACTCTTTCAACTGAAGAACCAAATTTGGTTTCAAAAAAGCCCTTGGGGGTCAAATTCCAGTTGTGTGTGGGAACAATAGCAAAATGGGAAGAACAAAACTTCTGGCATATTATAGGTCAAAGCTCTTGTTGCCAGGTCCTAATCCTAACGAGAAGTATTTGGACCTTTTAGAATGGGAAAACAAAAACAAGAATTCGCCAAAATGATACGTAATTGAGGGAAGGGAGGTCACCTGGGAAAGCCCAGTAGGCCGGATTGAGACCCCAGGTGGATTTGGTCCATGGTTGTGAGTTTCAACACTCCTGAAGTGAAGGAACATTTCCCATGGGTTCCTGCTGAAAAAGAAATGAGTTTGTGATATTTGCATAGAAGAAACTGCTTAAATGTTTGGCTTCTGCTGGTTTTGTACAATCCTCTTAAGTCAAATAGCTTCTTGTTGGTAAATATGTGAAAGTATTATTGACGTTAAGAAGACTTTCCCAGAATGCACGCTTAATTGTATATAAACTTCCTAAGAACTTAAAGACTTGGATAAGTTTAAATGTGGTTGTAAAATGGGAAAGCCACAGTGCATTCCTATCGATGAAAGATAAACTTGAAACCCAATGATAGCTAAAGAATATTGAAGGCTGTGGTTATTTTCCATTTTGAAAGAGTTTTTTTTCTTCCTTGGAACATTTTAATATAACAGAAAGCCTCGAGAAAATATGAGTCCATAACTTGCAGTTAGCCAGCTATCTGCACTGCATAAAAAGATATTCTAGCATAATGAAAACTAATGATACAATAAATCCCAACAGGAATCAATAGCTATACCTCCTCAATCCTAGCAATGGTAACCAGCACATATTTTTGTCTTCTGGTATATCCAAATATTTACAGTTCAATTCTATGCATATTTAGGCAGAAAAAAAATCCTATAACCCCAAGCATTCTTTAAGGGATTCTAGGAGCTACAAGACATTTTTCTATCTAAACGTTCATAAAACTGTGCCTTTGAAGAATTAGGGGACCATCATGCAGGTGCTACCTATCTTGTCCCACTTTTAGGAAGCAGATTATATTCCTGGAAGTTTAGATGGGGATTCAAATGGGGACATGACTCTAGATGGCCAGATTTATATTAAATGGACTTGAATGAGGGCAGTTAGTTTCTCAGGATTCAGTTTACATTTTGCCACATGAATATTTATACCAAAGGTTCACCACCTGATAAATCTGCACACACTTTCCTTTTATCATCTTTCAGAGGACAATTCTTGTATGTTCAACGCTATGATGATAAATATATTCAGTGTTTTGAATGATGATGTGTGAAACTGGAATATAATGAAATCAGAATTTAGTTAACATTTCATACCCAAGGAAACCCTCTGTGTGTACAGTCCATGTTTATGTGAAATGTAAATGTAAGATGGCATTAATTTACCAACTCCTAAATATAACACTGGGATGTGGGAGAGTACAAAAAGTTTTGTGGACTTTAATTAGCTTATTTTGCAATTCAGTTTGGTCTCATGTGCAAAATGTGTCTGGATTGACATTAAATGTGTCAAATGTGTCCTGGACACAAGGATTTCACCATCCTTAGATAATAAACTTTTAATTAGATCTAATATTTTAGAAATAAGTCACTAGGGTAATCATTATAGATTATGCCTGGAATACTGAAACATAAGGAAATAGGCATACAGGCAATAAATAAAGCAGTGCAAAAATGTTCTAGTTTACAACCATGCAAGTAATAAAATGTCTTCATTTCACTAAGAAATACCATCTTGAGATTTAACTGAGATGGATGAACTGCTGCTCAAGTTAGCATTCTTACAGAGCAAAAGACATTGGGGAATAGGAATATTTTGGTGGATATTGATTTAGTGCCCATTAACTCAGAGAACACTGAAAGGCAAAATGGAGTGGAGGGTTGTATTTCATTCATTAAGGGAAATTAAATATCTGTTGCACAAAGGTGCTAACAGAAATTGATCTGCACTGAGGCTCAGGTCAGTATATATCATAAATAACAATGTTAAAGGGTACTGCATTTATTCTGTTTTCCATGCCAATCAAAAAGGACAACCATATAGTTTCTTTCAATAGCCTTTTCAGCAGCCTCATGAGACCTACATGTTGCTGGGAGGAATCATTTCAGACTGCAGGTGGAGAGATCAGATGTTTGAACGCTACCCTACTTCAAAACCTCTTTGCATGAACACACACATCCAAAACTAGAATGTCTGGGAGAAAGTTTTATCCTAGCATGATGTACTTGTAACAAAATGAGCACTTGTGTATTTTGTAACCCCACCCACAGTCAAAATTGGTACAGTCCATCACCAGACTTAACTGTGTGGAACCACCACGCATGCATTTTGTCTGGGATGTAATCTTATGCTTTAAAATAAAAATGTCCCATATTTTCATTGATAACATCTTTATGCAAAAAGAAAGCAACTATAAAATAATATGAATAAAACCTGGGTGGTCAAAAATTAAGAGTGCTTTCCCATGGAGTCCAATTTTAAGAGAGTTCATTGAAGAAAACAATGCTCTAGCTAATCAACAAACCTTCCTTCAAATTTTTACACAGCAGCCTCTTTCAATTTAGCTACAGGTTTCTTCAAATAACTTTTACAACAGGAAAACATGTCTGAAGGGATGATGTGCAAGACGGAGAGGTGCTGCACCTTTCACAGTGCATTTCCTTAATGTGTTTCAGGTCCAAAATAGAGCTTTGTTAGGGCTGCTCTTGCTGTTCCTGTTACCTGAGCAGCAGAGCAATAAACTGCCTGACTATCTGCCACTGCACATCTCAATTTAGAAGGATGGCTTTAAGTTGTGCTACAAGAATGCAGCAGTGTTGCCTTCATTAGTCAGCGTTTAGTGGCAAGTGAATCTAATCAGAACGCCCACCTCACACTACGTTGCTTTTTCTTATTTACTGGATTATTGCTTATGTATTTCAAGTATTTGTATTTATATTGCCCTAACCCTTGTTATTACAAATGAAAGAGTTAATAGGCACTGATGTGAAATACCTTGGAGAGCAAAGCTAGGGGTAAGTTTAATTGTCATTTAAATTTAAACTGAGAACAATGCTCAAGCAATCTGCCAGTGCAAGTTTTTCTTTATTATCAGTGCAACTAGTATACATGCTCCAAGGATGTTATTTCTTCTTTAGTTGGTTGGTTGCTTGCCCTATGATGTAGAGATGTGTGTAAAAATCTTTTCTTTTAGGAAAAAACAAGATGGGTCTTATTGAAAATGGTATTATTCTGAAAAGCACAATTTCCTGGCATTAACTTTCCCTTCCACAATCCCAGTTTCCTTTCTTTCCTCTCCTCCCACATCCCCACCAAGCCTCTTCACATGTGCTGTGTGTGTGTGTGTGTGTGTGTGTGTGTGTGTGTGTGTGTGTGTGGGGAGGGCGGTCTTTAATCATCTGGTATAGATTTGGGGAACAGGAAGCTACAGGGGGAAGAGGAAATTCAATTCAGCTCCATCTGTTCATTTGATGGAAGGACACTATTTAAGATTTTTGTATACCATCCCACTACTACTGTCTATATAACAAAGGGATTTTTAATCGTATCTCTTAAAAGAACAACGATCAGTGAATCTGGGTGCACTTTCTTTGACCTGCTTCATACATAATGACAGATCAGGGGTTATAGGACAAGCACTCTGCCTCCTATGCAGTGCTGCTGCTGCTTTGCTCAACAACCCAACCATGTCCCATTCCTGCATTGTTAGTTGTGATGTCCAAACCTAGCACTCTCAGTTACAGAATCCTATTAGGGCTGGAAGAGGCCAGTAAGGCCATCAGTGCAGGAGTTCATGTTAAAGCATCCGTAACAGCTGCATCTTGAATACCTCCTGCATGGGGAAGCCCACAATCTCCTTAGGGAATTGGTTTCACTGTGATACTGCTCTAACGGTCAGGAAGTTTCTCCTGATGCTCAACTAGCAACTGGATTCCTCTTACTAGAGACCAGATGTTGCAGTAAGTAACCCAGGAACAATGTTCTAGTAAGTTTCCTATTATTGTAAAACTGGGTTACATAGAGGGAAATTAATATTGAAGGGTTAGGCCCATTTCCCTAATCTAATCTCTTGTTTGGAAAGGTTTCTAGTTAATAAGACAACTTAGGAGTATTGGTCTCAATTCATTTTCAGTGCTTTTGACAATTTGAACTCCAGTCATTCAGTTTTGGGGCAATAGTGAATAAAAAAGCCAACCTGCCCTAAATGGCTTGTGGGCAGGCCAACTGATGCTGTTATACTAAGGAACTCAGCACAGAAAGGGCAGGTTTGCACGTCGCATTAAGCCACCCCATGGACCACCCATCTTATACTCAAGAGATCATTTGATACTGTGATTTGTTCTCCTCTTTGTTCCTCAGACCTCCAGGCAACTCCAGCATGTTGCCCCATGTCCTCTGTGGAAGAACTTGCTTCCCTTTCTTTGATCTGACTGCCACCCCTTTTTGTTCATTCCGTTGCATATAGTTGCCTAGCGGAAGCAGAAAAGCACCAATGAAACACAAAAAACAGTGGTGCACCAAAAGGAGATTGTGACAATATCACTCCCTGGCAAAGTGATCCTGCTGTTTTTAAGTGCCGAATGATGCTTCACACTGTCTGCCTTCTTTTCAACCCTTTCCCGCATCTGCTCGGAAAGGAAAGAGCAGTTAGTGCAAGTGCAGACATTCTCCCTCCATTTACTTACCAGCCATTCAATTTGTGTATAATTTTGCATGACAAAATACATGCCAGTGAACCAGGTAACTGCAGCAGAAGTGCTTCGGAAAGAAGTTGCGTAGAAGGGGTGTGTGTGGAGCTAATATCTTCTTTCTGAAGATGATGTAGACTTGGGGAAGAGTTGAGAGGGTAGAAGTTTTTGAGAACTGTCAGTTTGGCACTTAAAAGTGACAGGAATGCATTAGGGGGTGCTATTATCACCACCCCCTTTTGGTGCACCCTCTTTTTTGCCCTTTGTTGGTGCTTTCTCATTGACTGTTAGGCAACTGTGCATTAGCCTATATGCAGTGGGCCTTGCTTGCTTCGCTGTGTCACCTAAAACCATCAGGGAAATTGACCAGGAAAGACTATACATTCCAGAGAAGCATACGCGTGTGCTTGCCAAGGACTGCCCTTTTTTTTAATGCCCAATTCAGAAGCCAGGCAAGGCAAGTGACCCAACTGTGCATTTTTAAGACACCAAATAATAATAAAGGCCCAGGAAGAAGTGATGGTCCTTCCAAAGTGTTATTTCAGCACTGATGGAAAGTGCAAAAGCAAGCAGCAGAGTGGCCCCATGACCATTCCCACAAGGAAGTCACCCCGTTGGGTTTGGATGAAGTAACAATGCATTATATGCAGGAGCAATGCCACAATAAGCCTTTGGTTTGTAGGGTAGTTTGTCCATGTAAAATAAAGCACCCTACAGAAACCACACTGGGCTCAGATGGCACAATGACTAGGTTACCTGTGGTAGACCACAATGTTGTGCAAACAAAGTCATCACCTTTTTAACATACCAACATAAAATCATGGGAGGACGCTGGCACAGGCCAGGGCATTTGTGTGAATAAATGTCCGAAGGGTGCCCTGCTGAAACTGCTGTGGTAGCAGGCTAAGAGGAAAAAGATCCATCTTAGTTAAATGGGCCACAACCTAATTCACTGTTTGTCCATGAAATGCCAATTGGCTTTCCAAACGGTGGCCTTGGCCAAATAGGCCACCTTTTAATTGAAGAGGTTCACCTTACACTCATTTCAATTTCTACTTGTTAGAGACATCCTCAAGGTTTAAAAAGACTCGCCCTTTACTGGATGCATGTTCAAAGGCTCAAAGAGTTCATCCCATGATTAGTTACGCATGAATTCAAAAGAGAGGATGCTAATGTGGGTGATAAAGTCCGGTGTTTTAAAATGTCATTAAAGTGAAAAAATGGCAAAAGGATGAGTGAAAGGAGTGAAGCCACTGTTCTATTCCTGTGGAAAGTGATCTTCGGTGTCATGAGCAGTTCTACCTGCATCGTACTTGTGAATAGCATCCTTGTAAATTCAGAGGTAGTCTTGTTTTGTATTAAGGCTGTACAATAGGTTTTGGTTTCAATGTTTTCCCTAGTTCATCTCTTTGAGAGTCAAAAAGAGAGATCAATTAAAAGTGACAGATATCCTTCTAAGTAAGTAAGTAAGAAAGAGAAAGAGAGAGAGAGAGAGAGAGAGAAGAAGAAAAGAACAGAAAAAAGAAAAGACTCTTTACTCTGCCTTGCTTCCTTCTGCACAAATGACTAACCTCCCTTTCCACCAACCACTAACATAGATGTGGTTCACAAAAAAAAAAAAAATCCCCACTCTCCCTTAATGTCAATACTAATTTAAAAAAAGATCGATAACGATTTTGATTCATCACCCCACCCTGATATTCAGTTTGTCTAGTGACTTACCAAAACCACAATTGTGGTTTGCATGTTTCTGATGGAGGGTGGAGAAGGCAATCTTGTGAAATTATAGAATAAGTTTTACCATTTTAAACAAGATAATAATTGGCTAAGCGGTAGGATTGTCAACTAGAAATTGTAGAGTAGCACTTGTAGTGGCTTTATACATATTTGGTTCAAAAGTCAGTGTTAGAAAATAAAGATTAAAATTACGCTACAGCAGCACTGAAGCCCTCTGTGGCAAAACTTGGTGCTTATGTTTATGAGGAGAGATGCTTGGACTTCCACCTTTGGTTGGAATAGGCCACCCTTAAATTCTGCTAAGCAGTGTACAGGATTCCTTGCGCTTTGATCGAGTTCTTCATTTCCATCGATGCTGCACTAAAGATGATTCATCATTGACAACCTCATCAGTATAGTGATGACGGCAGCGAGGTGGAAGCAGCAGTAAGACAATGAGTATAAGGAGGACAAGTCCACAGAAACTCATTAGGGTGTAGGACACAATCCACAGCAATGGCTCATGGAGAGAGATGCTGGGCACACAGGTGCCTGCAATGTCTGCAGTTGAGAAAGGACCTTCAATCTCAGATATTGGAGAACCATCCATGTCTAATGTATATCACAAACAGAAGGAGAGAGGACACAAATTTTTAAAGAAGTTTTAAAAAATGTTGACATTTTTTAACAATTTATACATGCAAATAATGTTATACCTATCTGTTAAATTCAAGCTAAGGAAAATGCCTATAGCAAGAAAACTGTTTTTAGAAACAAAGCCCTGCTGCACCTTTTTCAGGATTTCCTACTGTAGTTTATCTCCCATTTGCTCAGGCTACTCCTACATAAAAGCCAGATTATGTAGGAGGGGAGAAGGCACTTCTGAAAATAAAAGCAAAATGAACATTCTGTTCTAGTAAAATGAATGATTCCAAGACTGTAACTCTCTTGTTTGTCAACATCAACATTTCAGGCTAAATGTGCATTCATCTGTTATGCACCAACCTCTGTCCTACCTTTATAGTTTCAGAGAAATGGACTACGTAAACCTAGTACTCTGATTTGGGCTGCAAGGGGGACCTTAATAAAATACTGTATTTCAGTTCTTCCAACATGCTTTCTGGAAATGTAAAGCCAAAATGTTTCTTCTTGTTTAACAAGAGTAATCTCATGGATTTGCATTTATTTTCCTGAGTTGGTTTTAGAAACATAGCAGCAAAATGGGTTCCCATGAGGTACGTAGCTCACTTTCCAGAACACTCTTGTGCCTTAAGCAGGGTGCGCGCTTGCGCGCGCACGCGCACACACACAGAGAGAGAGAGAGAGAGAGAGAGACTGACTGACTGACTGACTGACTGACTGACTGACTGACTGACAAAGAGATCTAAGCCATAAGCCAGTCCCCTTAGTTTCAAAAGTAAAATAATTTTTCACAGGGAACAGGAAGCTTCTTTTGGCACATAAAACTCATTGTGTGGTTTTTTGAATTGCAGCCCAGATCAGTTATGAAGCTCATTGGCATTATGCAGCAAGTCATTACCTGTCATACCCTCCTAGATTGCAAGATGTTTCTGAACATAAAAATTGCAAAGCACACATACTTAAAGTGTTAAAAATACTCATTTGCAGATTTGAAAACATTGTATGAAAATACACATATATGAAAATAAGACAGAAATTTAAACAGTTTGTTTCCTTTTCTGAATCAGTCTCTTACCAGCACAAGTACTTAAAGCAAAGCCCACTTTTTTTTGTGCTCTGTCAAAGATGACATAGAATCCTTCCATCATTGTAGCACCAATGACCAGGGCATTAGAAGAGGAGGAGATGCCAAACCGGTAACAGCCAAGATTCTGACCAACTTCTACAATAGGCTGGATATAAAGCTGTTTATTCGGAGGAAAATGGACAGTTAAGGAGCAGAAACACAAGGCAGCCAGCTAAATAAGTACAGTAGTGGAACTGATTCCATTGACCATAAAAATGATAGCTCTTAAGATGGGAGTACTAAGTTGTTAAAGATCATAATAGCTTCAGAAAACTTTATTCTGTTAATGTTCTTTAGCGCAAGATGAATTTTTAGTAATTCCCATTACTACCCCACAAAGAATTGATCTTAGCCTGTGTATAAGCTTCTTTGAATTTCTTGTAAATTGGTCAACTCTACTTGGGTCCCAGTCAACTACCAGTATGAGACATGGGGCTGATTCATACACTATGTCAGCCTCCATTCAGTCACACCAGAATTATGTGGGTCTGTTGTAAGAGTTCTGGCCAGACTGAACTTCTGCAGAAGTGTTTCACCTGGGCAAGCTATAGCTGGTTGCTAAAATTTCCATTACAGAATACATCACCAGTACAGAAATGCCAGTTCATTCAAAATGTCTGGCCATAAAAGCAGACTAATAGAAAACCTGACAGAAGCCATGCAGGTTTCTAAAAGACAGTCCTATGTGAACCAGCCACTGTTTTTCTCAAAATATGAAACTCAAAAAAGTTGAAACCAAGTCTAATTACTAATATACTATAAGACAGAGGTGGGTAACTTTTTGCCCTCCAGATATTTTAGCTTACAACTCCCATCTGTTCTGGCCAGCATAGACCATGGTGATGGAAGTCATGGGCCAAAACACTGGGAATCCCAACCCTGGCTTAAACAGATGTTTTGTGTACACAGTAGCAACATGTCAATGTATTCATGTATTACAATCTAGAAGATGGATGTGTCAAAGGTCCCATTCTTGCCTGTGAAAATCCAAACATTCATCTACTTCAGGGCTGGACAGGAGGTAGATCTCAAGATGTTTTGGACTTCAACTTCCAAAAGCCCCGGCCAATTGTGAGGAACGCTGAGGGCTGAAGTTCAAAACGTCAGATCTACTGCCTACTGCAAGTCCACTGTTTGTGTTTGTGTGTGTGTGTGTGTTGCCACAGTCAATTACAGACCCTCGGTGCTTCCTAACTCTTGCAGGCTGCCCTGTTCATGTAACAAAACCACACAAAACTGGGGTGTAGATGGATGGATGAGCTTGTGAATTTCATTCACAAACCATGAGCTAAATGTAGGACTGTATGATTAGGAGACGTCTCTTCCATGCAGACATGAAACTGATCGTATGTCTAGTGGGGGTGAGGCCTGCTGCTATGGCTCTGTCCCAACCACCCACATGCATTCAGTCACCATGGTTATGTCATGTGAATAGGGCTACTGTGCTGCCTAAATGTGGGAAAGTAAAGCAACAGTCCTCAGTTAGATTCTGGTTTAGTGCACACAAAACCTCTGAGATTTACAGTGGAGTTCAGTGCTTCCAATCAGTACCTATGCTACCACAGGGTCAATACAACTATTGTTTCTCTGTATGAGGGGCACAATACAATACAAAACAAGAGGGCTCATTCAGACCTGTGGCAAGATTGTAATTTTAAATGATCTGCTGGAATTTTCAGCTCTCAGATAGATAGAGATCTTTGGAAAGAAGGTCCAAGGTTTTTCAGTTTTGTCCCAGCAAGCAAGTTGTGCACCACTCCAAAATCCAGATGAGAATTCTTGGATCTATATGGAAAAGAAGCAAAAACACCCCTTACTATTCAACAACTCTGATATCCCCACCACCATTAATTTTTCTCTCTATGGATGATCTGCTTCAATTTAACAATGTACAATGGTAGCTGTGGGCTGTTTTCAACAACTAGGACATTTATAGCCAGCATTGCTCATGAACAGGGGAATGCCAAGATAACAAGCTTGTTGCTTCTGCTGCTTGCTTTTTGTTTTTGGCAGTAGGGTACAATTATACATCAGGTTTTGGTGTACCATAACATTTCCACAGGTGACATTAAAAACATCATTTATATAAATACTAGGAACCTTTTTTGCCCCCAAGGACTACATGCAGCAATGCATAGTGGAAACAGGAGTAAATACAGGGTTTTCTGAGATGACTCTACTTGCCTCCAATGCTACTCACAAGACATGCATATAGATCTAGTGCTAAATATTGCTTCCCGTTTACTCATTCTTTAGTAAAGATTTTTACTAAATATTTAGTAAAGATTAAAAGCACACTAAAGGTGCACCTTTGCACATTTAAAGAGAAAGATCAGCACCTCCTGGTAGGGACACATTGAGTCTTACAGGGCCTTTTTTTTTTTTTTTTTTGGCAGGAACATACATAGGATTGCATTTTAAATATATGTTCTTGAAAACCTATTCCAAGAAGAAAAAGGGCTTTGTGGTTGACATGAGGGCCAGCTAATCAGGATTTAAAAAAGGAGGCAGGCACCTGTACTGAATGACATAGGGGTGAGCCAGTGGGGCATAAATCCAGCTCCTGCAAACCGGGGAAAAATGCTATTGAGCTTGATGCAAGAGAAGATGGTTACTCATTTGTCCAAAAAATGCTCCAAGTGCTTACTCACTTTGGGCTTCCATAACTCACTACTAAAATTGTGTAATTTGTACACTCATAAACACTTCCATGGCACAGTTGCCCATTTGGGAAAGATTAATGTAGCCTCTCATGTACAGAGACTTATTTTAATTTGACTGATGGCTTGGCTGCAAGGTGGTTGGAGATTTAATGAGTGAGAGCCTATTTTTGCAACCTATGAACAGAGTCAGTCTTGAGCAGGAGCATTAGCAAAACTACTGAAAAAGCAGCAGATGATTCCTTTCATGAGAATCTCTGACCCTGTTGGGAAAAGAAATGGCAAGTGTTGCTGGAAGGGGAAACATTCTGCAAGTAATATAATAACTAGGAAGAGTCCCTTCAACAGTAATGAGTATTTCCAAGTCTGCTCCTTACCATTAAATACATTCAGTTTGCAAAATCAAAGGGCACACATTTCAAAGGGTGAGTATGAAGTCTTCTGTCAGCCTTAACTTTCATTTCATCCCTTCTGGTATATGATCAGACAGATCTTAGAAATCTAATTTACCTCTGGTTCTTTACAGCACAGTCCTACTCTTAGGAGTACTTTTAGGTCCTCCCCAAGTGTATAACCCTATACCACCTATCTGAGAGCAAGCCCCATTGAACTACCATCAGTGTGTTGCCAATTTATAATCCATTGTAACAACCCAAGTCAGGCTAAGCTTCTCTCCCACATTTATACTTTCTGAGGAGTATCACAGACCAATACAAACACAAGATGAGAAAGACACTTTCTTCAACTGCTGCGTTATTTGTGGCTAAGGTGTGCTTTATTGTGCAAGGACAGCCTCTATTAACTTCTCATTAGCGAATGCCACTAACAAAACAAAACTAAACAAACCTGCATTGGTTGAATAACAAAGGTCCCCTCCACAGTAACTGCGCATGCACATTCATGTGTGTGGAAAGTTAGGAACTCACAAACATTTCAGGCATGAAAATAAAGGCATGCTTTTAATGCTCCTATTCTCATGTGAGGAATGACTGCCCATGCCACTTCTCACCCAATTATCACATTACTGAAGATGCCACGCTCTGGTCTGGTCTGCACACTTGCAAAAACACTATCCTGTGTCACTTTCACAGTGAAGGTGGTAGTTCTATCGCATATTGTATAAGTGCCAAACAATTGATTATCAACAGGAAAGAAAGAAAACTTCATCAGTACTGGAATGGCAGGCTGTGCACTGTGTGATCCCTGCATGTGAATTCAGATGCACACATACTGTTCATGGAGAACTTTCCATGACCACTAGTCCAGGTGGCTGTATGCTAGCTCTAGAACTGCAGACAGTGTGCCTAGGTACACCATTCACTGGGGAACATGCTGTGAGGATGCTGCTGCACTTGTGCTCTGCTTGCCAGGCAGCTGGCTGGCCAAGATGCAAGCAGAATGCTGCCCTAGATGGACCCTCGGTTTGATCCATCATGGATGGCTCTTATTTATTTATTTATTTATTTTATTTATTAAAACATTTTTATGCTGCCCCATTCGCCGAAGCCTCGGGGCGGCTTACAACAATAAATTAAATAATTATAATCATAAATTAAAAATGTAAACATTAGAATAAAATACAAACATACAATATAAAATAAGCTGCCCTGGCCGTATAAAATTCAATAATATTAACATTTAAAATGCCGCTTAAATAAAAAGGTCTTCGCCTGGTGCCGAAAAACAAATAACGACGGCGCCAGGCGGACCTCTCTGGGGAGCGCGTTCCATAACTTAGGCACCACCGCAGAGAAAGCCCTCCTCTGAGTACCCACCCTCCTAATTTCTTTCACGGAGGGTTCCCGGAGAAGGGCCTCGCCCGCCGATCTCAGGGGGCGGCTGGGCATATATGGATGTAAGCGCTCCTCCTTCTTCTTATGTCCTCATTACAGACAAGTGTCCAAGTGCCCCCCATTCAGACACTAGATCCTAGAAACCAAGAGGAGGAGGAGGAGGGAGCAAAAGCTGAAGAATGGCAATCATGCTAAGAAGGCATGGTAGGGTCAGTGATATACAAGGAAACATACCTAGTACATGGAGACACTAAGTACAGATGTACTTAGGGGACAAAATGTGTGCGGGAGCAACAAGCCACTGGCCTCAGAAATTCATTATGGAATCAGAGAATGTACCTCATTTAAGAACCAGTATCAGAACATTTCAATGTTGGGAATCTTAAGTTATTCTTTAAAATCCACTGTTAGCAATACTGCATTTCATATCCTCCTCAAAGTGTACCAGAACATTCCCTCCTGGTAATGAATCACCCACCACTTTACCTAGTGACATGGTTTTGCAAACAATGCTTTAAAGATAAATAAAACTGGTCAAACTATTTGCTATTTCAAGATTTATGGCTGAAGAGTCACAAAACAAAGAACAGAACATTCAGCTTGGAATGAAGTGCACTGCATGGGACACTAAAAAACCAAATCAGCAAATGAAATTATTTTGAGATAACTCTGTGAACTTTTTGGCCTGCTCCTTATTTATGGAATGGTCGGAGTCTTAATCTTTTGATAATGACTCTTAAATACATATATAGCCAGCATGTAGGACTTGAGTAATACATAAATAATAAGTTAACTACAAGATTCTAGAAGATTGTAGTATAAAAATTATACATTATACATACTACCAACAGTGAAACACATGCAGCATTACTAGCAAAAAGCACTTATTTTGTGAATGGTTGCCAACAAAGCAATTAGGGTTTAGACCAAAGACCTTAAAGTTGGAGATGCTCAACATATTTGCACTTAGAAACAAAGCAGAACAATGCCGTTTTAGCAGCAATTATACTTCTATTTACACTTCTCCAACTAAGAATCCTCCACTCATCCTAGGAAGAGGTACATTTAGTTTCAGTCCCATAATTATACATTGAGTAACTATTGCCCTAATGCAGCCATTAAAAGCTGTTCCTATTAAGGAACAAACTGCCCCAAAAGTAAATTTCATGAACTATAAGCTTACCAAAGATGTTTCTGTAATTGCACGCACAACAGCACTGAAGACGTTTTCTGGCAGGCGCAGGAGAGTGGTGCCGCTGTCTACAATGGCTTTATCTGCATTGTACTACACAGGGAAAGAAGAACAAAAGCAAATGGAAATAGCAACAACTGCCAAGGAAGGGCAGAGCATAGATGACTTGTGTCATGACAGCTCCTCCCCACCCCAACCTGGAAGGGGCCAGTGGCATTTCTGAAGTGTTCTGAGCTCAGGCGCTTTCAGGATTCCCCCTGCAAGGAAGCTGAATCGAGCTTTAGTGGCAAAGCCTGCCCTGCTCCCATTCCAGCTGGCCCAGTGGTTTTCCCTGTTTATCACCTGTTGCCATAAACCTCATGCTTTACAACAGCAGTCCTCAAACTTTTTCAATAGGGGGCCAGTTGAAAGGCTCTGGTGGCTGTCGTGGGCCGGTGAGGTGGGGGTGCCTGGAGGCGCGGGCCGGTGAGGTGCCGTTGGGCAGGCGTGGGGGTGGCTCCCTCACTCGCTTGGAGATCTTCCAGCAAGTCCAAAACCATCTCCAAGAGAGAAAGCCACCACATCCCTGCCCACGCTACGAGGCAGCGGCCAGTGCGTGTGTAAGGAGGCAGGCGGCAGCAGCAGCTTGCTCACTCGGACACCATCTCCGAGCGAGCAAGCCACTGCCTCCCCGAATGGCAGCACGGGCCGGATGGATGGCCATGGTGGCCGGATCCATCCCGCGGGCCATAGTCTGAGGACCCATGCTTTACAAGATTGTCTCAGCGGACAGCACAAATCTGTAAAAAGCACCAGGGAAGCTATTTCCATCTGACTGGAAAATGACTAAACTAGAGTGCTATCCTATGTATGTTGAGATGGGAAAAAAAGCCCTACAACTCCCACTGTTGCCCAGCCAGCACGCTTAGGATTGAACACTTAATTGTACAGTAACACAAAGCCAACTGAACTGTGATCGAGAGCAGACAAGACTTCCGAGTGTGCAAAATCTACCTTGCCTTCTTAATAAAACTGTCCACCAAAACCAATGGCTAAGGAGGTAGAGTTATAATTGCCTCCTGTATCCCCATGAGCTATATAGACTAGGATGACTACTGTATAAACATGTAGACATCTACATCTGAATTACAACAGATCAGGGACACCTAAACTCTTAACACCTTTGCAATATATAGAAGATCTGCCCAAAGATGTACTCAGAGACAGCAGATTTGTACCCCCATTCCTCAGATGAGGAGACTGAAAGGGAAGCAATTAGAACACGGCCAGCCACTAAAGATGCAGCAGCAATTATGATAATGAGGAAGATGACCAGCTATTTTTAGGGAACAGTGAATTGTGTTGTTACCCTTATACACAAAGTCCCATTTTACAGCTGGGGGAGACTGAGGCGTAGAAATAATGCAGCTTTCCTGCAGTTCTAGGAGCATTTTCTGAGACCAGCCACATCAGTATAAAAATAAACACCACCAGATAGTTGCCATGCTCCACATCAGGGGCAAGGCTAGTTGGCACATCCCAGCTTCCCATGTCCACATTAGGAGAATGCATGAAGTGTGCTTCTATATAGGGATACTGTGCCTAGGCCATTCCTATCCAGGAAAAGATGCCCTGGCAAGCTGATGAACTCTAGGCCACTGCTGTGCTCTGACATTCAGGAGCAGTGCTAGGCTATACACCTGCATCTTCAGAAGGAATGCAACCCATTCAAAGTGGTCAGTACCCTTACTCCAGGACATATACGTTTTTATCTTCTACAGATTAAGGTTTGGTGTCAGCGGGGAAATAAAAGCTTGAAATGGCAAACTAAGAGTCTGTCATACATTAATAATGATTAACAAATGAACTATATTTACAACTATCTTACATCCTATCTACTACCAACATTGCAATTTTCCTTCAACTGTTGAATGGTATTTGCTCTTGAGCAACTTCTGCTCATTCCAATGGACTTGCGTTGGAGAACACCAGCTGAGTTGTGCCCACTATTACTAAATCTGTGTGTAGTTTGTAAACCAGCCAAACAAGCTTTGTGATTTTAAAATAGAACAAACAGAATGTGTGACACATTCTGCACAATAGTTGTTTCATTTTAGAAAACCAGGATAAGTTTGGCAGGTTTACAGGTTTCTCCAATGCACGTCCATGTCCAAATAATTTGCAGGGATACTTGGAGTTCAGGTATGTAGGAGTGAAGATATATAGCTATAGATAAAACATAGGGAATTAGATAAGCCAGGGTCAGTAGCATCATGTAACTAATTGCATTTCATCACCTGTTCTACTTAGAAGATCACTCAGTTTCAAAACGCTGAAGCTATTTAGGTTTGTACAATAGTTCTATTTATCACCAATTTACTGATTAATGTGTTAGACCAGCTGCATGATGTACACATTATCTAAAGATTAAATGAAGGAATATTAAATGATGCTTTGTTGTTATAAATACCTCTTTGCAGTCCAAATTAAGAATCTGCCCTCCAACCTCCAATTTGAGTACTTCAACCTGATAATACCACTCTTTCTTAATAGGTGTGTACCAGATTTCTCCTTTGTATAGGCTTGGTTCGATTCCACCCAGGACCTGAAATGAAACACAGGCCACAAGCCTGTTATTACAGCACACAATCAAAGCACAGCAATTTAAGTTAGCAGCATGCATGTACTTGAGCAAAACCAACCAACCAACCAACAAAAGAGGCATTAATGTATTAAATTAGGTTTGGTCTGACATTCAGTCATCTTAAATCATTTAATCTGTTGCAATATATAACTGTAATTGAGTAATCAGTTAATCACCAGTGTATCAGCGATGGGTACAATCCTATAGTGTCACAGGGATTGTGGGATTTTGCTGAAGTCCCCTTCTGTGGACAGAGCGGGAGGTCTACCCTTGGAATGTGAGGCTGTGCCCCACAGCAGCCATTGGTGCTTCAAAGCAGGGCAGCTGGGGGGGGGGGGGGGGAATCATTCAGAAGTTGTAGCAAAAGACTTTGGATCTGGTTGCTCCCATTGCAAAATGAACCAGTTCTGTTTTATTCCAGTCATCACACGTTTTACTCTGCTCCTGAGAGCCCAGCAGGGCCTTGGATTTGGCAATCCCTCCACTTCTCCCTCCCCCTAGGATTGCCCCAGATTACGGAATAGATTGCTTTATGGAATAAACTAATCTCACTCTCTCTCTATGGCTTCTTCCCAGGCAGAGATAGATTGGCCACAGTGGTACAGATGCTAGTAACTTCAAGAATGGAGGTAGGGCTGTCCTTAAGGCTGGTTTGGAAGGTGGAGATTGTGCAGAATGCCATTTTCAGCCTGCAATCCCTTTCCTGAAGGCACTTCACTGACTGCCTATTTGCTTCTAGGCCAGGTTTAAGGCTTTAGTAGTTAGAGAATAAAGCCCTAGACAACTTGGGTCCAAGATACAATCTTACCAGCCTGTCTAGTCATGGAGGTGATCAGATGGCATATTCTGATGGTTCCACATGGACCTACCAACTGACTGGAATCTACCAAGGGAACAGCCTTCAGTGTGGTGGCTCTCTTTCTGGGGAATTTTCTTTCTAGGAGTTCAGGCAGGCACCAACATTGTGTTGTGTCTCCTAAAACCTCTTTTCCCCCCCAAGAAGGCTTCCTTGACTGGCCAGCCACAATTTTATAGAAAATCCTCTTTTTAACACATTCTTTCATTCTCTTCCCTGCTTTATCTTTTTTTCCCCACTGTTCTGGAATCTATTTAGAGGTAGAGCAATGCATAAATGTTGTAAATAACCAAAGGTGTAATAAGCATGATTTCTTTGAAGAAATCCCACAGTCCAGCAGTCCCAAGTAAGAGTGCATAGGATTACTGCCTTCATTACACAGATGAGAAGCGTGGAGTTTGAGTTCTTCCATCCCCCTCTTGCTGCCTCCCCAGAAAAGTACTCCAAAACTTGCCTAATGCTGTTAAGATCTTTATTGAGGCTATTCAAAACCTAAACTGGGGACAGGGGTGGGGGTGGAGACCACAAAATGGACAGAAAAACACAATTCAGAGTTATGGCATCTGTCCATCAATTCTCTGGATATTCTTTCCCTTATTCCAGTCAGGCAGTAGCTATAAAATAACAGGAAAGGTGGCACATAGGAAGATCAGTCTGGGCAGATTGGCTACAACTTCTCCTTAGAACTATTTACTCAGCTTATTTAAGTGTTGGGCGTTGATCCAAGAACTATTTCAAGTGTTTAAACAACTAAGTGTTTAAAAGGTAAAATCCTATGTAAATCTTAGAAGTAAAAGAGGCCTACAACTCCCAGCATACCCCAAGGCGCTATGCTCAGGGCATAGGTTTGTGCCTTAAATGTTTTAGGTCATTATTTAAGTTTTCACTTGGGAAAACCAGTGGCCCAGTTCACTTGACGCAAAATGGAGATGTGGCACTCCAACCTCCTCCTTTGTTGTAACTGCATTATGGTTTGTTTATTTTTTGGAGTGGGGGGATCACCAGCAATCCTACCCACATTACGGTGCAATCCTATGCACACTTAGCTGAGACTTAAGAGCAAGCCACATTCACCCAAATGGGACTGACTTCTGAAAAAGAACATGCAAAGTTTGTGTTTTGACTGTATTTCTTACAAAACAATTTCTATATTGAATGTTAATGCAAACAGAAATGTTAGAAATGTGCAAAAGTATGACCAAAAGAAGGTATAGAAATGAGAATTTCTTAATTCACTTTTTTAGGGAAAGGAGGATTTTTTGTTAAAGCATTACTCGCTCAAATACACAGAATATATACATACAAATATGCCCCACTCTGTACCTTCTTATGTAGAAATTCTATCAAAACCAACGTGAGTTAGATATTAGGATCTAAGAAGCACACAGTGTACAATGTGCAAATATTTTTAAAGGAAAATACTGGCAGACAAAATCTGATTCTTGATATTAAACAGTGACTGTTTCCTTGATTTAACATATTGTATTAGATCTAGCAAGAGAAAACAGATTTTTGAAACCTTATCTTCAACAGTACAGGTATTTTTTCATTGCTGGAAACTTAAAATAGACAAGTATAAAATCTTTTTAAGTTTCTTCAATTTAATGGTCTGTATGGAAAATTTAGCAAGCTGTTGAAGCCATGTTGTCTGGGTTTCTGATTGATATGGTAATGAAAAAAATCAAATACAATAAAGAGATTTTGTTTCCAAGTTACCAGGTTTAAATTCATTGCATTATTGATATGATAAAAAGGAAGTAAGAGAAAGCTACTAATATTTTCCCTTTCAGCTTGACAGATACCCACCAGACTACCTCCACTGGTACCACTTGCAGAATCTGGTAAACTAGCTCCACACATCTGCAAGGAAAAAATGTTTGGGATCTTTGCTTGATACACAAGAGAATCAAAAAATGTCTCCACAGAACTTGAAGGCTGTAGTAAAACAAACAAACAAACAAACAAACAAACAAACAAAGTTACCATTATTTTAAAAAGTAGCCAGTCTCAGAAAGCATGCTGGAGAACATATAATTTCATCTGACGCAAAATTCTATAAAATGCCTTGGAGGTTATCAAAGTCAGATCTGCTTATAAACCTAAAATCCAGTTTTTACAGAAAATAAAACATGAGACAAAAACTTTCCATCCTACAATCTCCTCTCTATTGCTAGGCCTGTATTATGTGTACTGAGCATTATATCTGCATCAGTGTGGACAGTTCAAATCTATTTTCAGATCTTCCACTGACACCTTTTCCTAATAAATTGATAGCTATGTATTTCGAATATAATACTTAAGTATTATTTACGATGCAACTCTAATGCCACATTCCTCAATTCTGTAAAAGAATGAATTATGCAAAACTACTACATAAGTAAGAGCATATGGCTGAATAGAAGAAGGCTGGTTTTAAGGCAATTTACAATAAATCATGTCTTAACAAAGTCACCAAGATATTCCAATACATGGAGTTGTTATTGGAAAGGAGCTTTCAAAGTTTCATCTGTCTCCAGAATTTTACTTTCATTTGCAGCACAACTATAGCACCTGGCAGGCAAGAAGTCAAAATTACCCTGGCCAAGGAATCGTAGGCAAGTCCCAGGATCCCCTGCCATTTAATGCCTTTTAAAAAGAACTGTTCAGACTGAAAGATGGTTGCAATATTGATAGTATAGCTGCCATTGATTCCTTTAGGCATTGTAATAACATCTGTGCCAAGGGTTCCAGTCCAGCTTCCTTGGGTATATTTAACAGTAACCTCAGTGCCCAGTGGCTTATATGTGCTTGACCTAAGAAAGACAAGGGGGAAAAAAGAGGGCAAGTCATTACTTTTTCACAGGACTGAATACACTCCATGCTAAAAATGATCAATCTGCACAGCAGCATCTCCAAAGCTGCACCAAGAAAAGCTGAATTCTGTGATCTATTTAAATTATGTACATTCAGCAAAATTTCCCCTTTCCCTTTCCTTAACACCAAGCAACCATTTTCAAAATGTTTCATCAGCCAGACTAATCCTCACCCCACCCAGGTATCAAGTTCTCTTAAATGTAGCTTGAGCTTTGCTACAGAACTTATATGTACTCAAGCTGTCAATCACAAGCTTGTGGCAAAACGAGATGCTTACTTCAGATGTGATTTCAGGTACTTTTTCCTAACTCTTTCTCCCTCCCTCCCTCTGCACACAGAACATGCATGACCAACACTTTCTGAATGCAGAGAGGCATCACCTAGGCTTAGTTCTTCCTACACATAAGGCTGTCCAGCCACTAGATGTAAGGTCTATTAAATGTAAGGCTGATGAGGGATCAATCTAATCCAAGTTTAGACAGAAACATGTTTTACACCTCCCAGTATTCCCTAGCCAGCATGGTTGGTTAAAATTATGCTGGGAGCTGCAGAACTACTCTGCCTTGGCATGCATAAAATTGTGCATTCGGGCACGATCCAAGCTTGCCCAGCCTTGATGCATGTAAGCTTCCAAACACAATTGCTTCTGTGCAATCCAGTGCAGGGCACAAGGTGGGCAGTGATTCCCACCAGCCTAGTCTGTCTTTCATCTAAACCAGGGGTCCGCAAACTTTTTCAGCAGGGGGCCAGTTGCAAGGGGCCCGTGTCGGGCATGGGCCGGAAAGGTGGTGCTGGTGGTGCACGTGGGCCGGTGAAGGGGTGGTGCATGTGGGCACGTGCCCTGGGGGGGGGGCGGGGTGCATGGCGAGGCGAGGCGTGTGTGGGCAGGTGCGTGCGGCAAGGGGGAGGAGGCAGGCGCACGAGGCAGTGGCTTGCTTGCTTGGAGATGGTTTTCTCCGAGCAAGCAAACCGCTGCCTCCCTGCGCATGGGGTGAGGTGGGTGGCGGTGGGGGTGCACATGGGCGCAGCGGGTCCAAATGGGCATGGCGGGCCGGATCCGGCACCCAGGCCTCAGCTTGAGGACCATGATCTAAACTGCCGTCTTCAGCCAGACTGATGTAATGCCAGAGCAGGGGAGGAAAAGAGGCTAGGGCAGCATTGGCATATGACGCAAGCAGCGGGATCCAGCCTCCTCCCTTCCCTGCCCCCCTCGCTCCTTCCAAGGTCAATTTCCGACCTCTCAGAGGCAGCTGGTACAGTTCTTTCCCTGTGAGCTGTGAGGGGAGTGGGCTGACGCCTCTGCAATTTGAGGATTTCAGAGCTCCCAGTAATCCTATGGCCCCTGCAGACAGTGCTGGGAGGCCACAGGACTGCACCCTTAGAGACTAAACTCTGTGCAGCAGCTATTGTTATTCCACTTATAGGACAATTTTTCCTTAATGCTACTTGCCTTAGTAAAGAATAGGGCATCCCTGCAATTCTACCTTTTCTTGACAGCATTTTGCTCAAATGAAGTTCAATATTTTGAGAAATATTATGCCTTCATCTCAACATTATTCATTGTAATTCCAATTGCACTAGAAGTTTATTTCCGGAGTTTTGGAAGTCTCCGACAAAAAGCAAATTTTCCTGGGAATGTTCAACTTGCTATAATGCATTAATCCCCCCCTTTCTGGCTATGCAATATTTGTATAGGAAGGATGTTTGTCTTTGGTACAGCTCCTGAATTCCCATTTTACTGGAGCAGCATGGTAAGTTACCCGCCTTTAGAAACTGCTTGATTAAGCTGGAAACGAATGCCATTTAAAGTCTGGCTTCTGCCATTCCTGATCACATGCTGCATAGAGCCAGTCAGGTGCTGTGTGGCATAATTGTAAGACTTGAACTTTTACTGGGGATGGGGAGAACCACAGCCAAAAATATAAAACGTAGTTTTGCACCTGCTTGTTGTTTCAGTTGTTCATGCACACTATTTGCCAGATACATGTATGTGACAAACAAATGTTCATATAGATTCAGACAACATAATAAAATGACCAATATAAACCATTTCAGTTCCAGATTGTAAGACAACAATATGTGGAGAAGTTGAAGGGGGAAGGAATATATCTGCAAGGCACTATATGTTACTGGGGTCTGTGGGAAGAAGTACACAGAAATACAGCCTCCAAAATAGTGAGATTCAACTCACCACTGTCTGTAAAAAGAGATCTCCATCTACTTATTCTGCTAACAAACAGCTCCTGGGGCAGGTGATGGGGGTGGGGAAGAAAGTGTCTTACTTTTCTTTGTTGAAGTATGTACTCAGATCTGGATTTGGTGCACCAGCAACTGCAAAATTGCTGCTTCCAGTGTCCACTAGAATATTCAGCTGTAGAAAAAAAAAGAGAATTATTTCTCAAGCAGTCTATAGAAAATATACAATCATTTTAAAAGTCAACTGAAAATTATTAATTTTTCATTGATCATTTTAAAGTATTCTTTTTACTAATGGAAATATTTATCTTTGAAATGGCAACATAAAAGCCCATTGAGTCCAATATTCTGTTCACATAGTGGCCAACAAGCTGCCTGTGGAAAACACATGAGCAAGACTTGAATCAACAGCAACCTCACTCCAGCAACTGAATAGCATTCTGTTTCTAATACTGGAGGCAGCATTGCTAGTGGCCATAGCTAAACTTACCCTCCATGAATTTATTTCATCCCTTTTAGAGGCATCCAAATATTATGTTTCGAGGTAATAAATAGCACAGTTTCGTGCACTGTAGGAAGAAATGCTTTCTTCTCTCTGTGCTTAATCTCTCACCAATCAGCTTCATGGGATGACCCTGGGTTCTAGAATTATGAGAGATGGAGAGAAATGTCTTGCTATCCATTTTCTTTATACCCAGTCAAGTGTGTATAGTTGGAGTGGGGAATCTTCTTTAAGGTAAGACCTGTACTCCCTCAGCAGCAGCCTCTCAGGAACAACATAAGGCACGGAAAGTAGGGATCTGACTCATTCTTCCTATAATACAGTCTTCGAAGGCTGTTGAATCAGATTCTGAGCCAGAAGGAGAGCAGGGGCCAGAATCCACAGCTGAAGTGCCAAGCCCAGTGGACTCAGAGAGAAGCCAGGCAGGTGCTGAAAATCAGACAGTTTCAAGTCCTGTGCGAAAGTCTAGTGAATTAGCTCATATAGGAGAAGGGGATCTAGCCTCATTAGTCCAAAAACGGGTCAGGTTCAGAGGGCTGACCAACAGCGAAACGTTAGATGTTCCAGGCAATTGGCCCATGGACAATTCATACTGAAGACAGAGCCAGCTCTTTTGGTTTGAAAGGGATAAGAGATATTCAGTTTGGAATCGTCTTGGTAGGAATAACTTGCATTTCCCTAATGGCCAGTACTAACTTTGTTCATGTCTTTTGTTACAGTCTTCTGCAATATTCCTCTGCTGTATCGTAATGCCGGCCTAGTTGGTCAGCTAACATGATAAAGACTTTCTGTTAGAAATGCTTTGTCCTGATCTGCTTGGACAAGACGACTGGGTGGTGGGCAAGGCCCTCCATATTCTGTCTGCCACCTCTGTGTCTCACTGACACTTCCTTGTCTCTTTTCTCCTTTTATCTCCCCCACACCTCATCTTAGAAAGAGTTCTGTTCTATGCAAATAGCACATTTTTTCCTAATTGCCACCAAGTGGGCAGGCCACATCTGGCACACAGGGTCAGGATCAGGGCTGGAGTGAACACCTTTGCAGGCACTTGCAGGGAACAGCTGAGGAGCAATTATGCAGTGCTTGCATAAGAGAGACCAGGCACTGCTGCTCTTTGCAACAGCAGCACAAGCTGTCCTGGTGACTTCCGTGTGTTCTGGCTCTCTGCGTTTCCTCCCCTGAATCCTGGTTCCTGACGCCCTGCCCTGCCCTGCCCTGCCCTGCCCGCCTCCTGCCATACTCCAGGCTGTTCCTGCCTTTTCCTGCTTCCAGTCTGATCCTGCTTCCCAAGCGCAGTATTTGCACCCATCCTCTCTGACCTCGCCTAGCTCTTGAATGTGACTGCCCTTCTGAAGCTTGACCTTTGGACTGTGCTCGTGCTCTGTGCCCCTGGACTGTGTTTGCCTGGATCAGTCATCTTCCTGGCTTGATCCTGGGCTGGTAAACAAATGTGTCTCTTGCTTCTGGCCTTCTGAACCTGCTGCAGGACCCACCCTGCAACTGCCCCCTGGTCCCAAAGTTCCAACCTTAGCTGCCTGCTGAGCACATCCCGGACTTAAACTGGGCAAACATTTCCCATCCTGGTATATAAGACTGCAAACTTATTTCTGCCTTTAGTAGCAACTATATAACCTATTTAAGCTAGAAGTGCAGAAGAAACAAAGTGCACAACAAAAGCTGAAGGAAGAAGTAGACCTGAAATAACATTTTATTTCATCTAGGGAAAAATATGATTAAAGAGGTGCTTAACTAATGCCAGTACGCTGATGTTTTGCTCAGTTCTGCAGACCACGTTTCCCATTTATTTTTTCTCAAGTGGTCATCATGTAAGCTATTCATATTTGTAACATTTTAAGATTAGGAAAGCAAACATGCTGAGCAAATGCTTGATTTTCAGTGTGGAGCTGTCTGAAAAAATGCATACTATATTTTTCTTTTCTTCCTCAGAATATTTGTTTCTGTGTTACCATTTTATATGCAGCAGCATTGCTAGACTAAAATCATGATGCAGGTGGGGTTTTTTTTCTCCCTTTCATTATTGGTCAGCAGGAAAAGATACTTCATTGAATTAGTCGTTGTCATTTTTAAGGCTCAACTAAAATTTATCAAAATTAATGGCTAAAAATTCGTGGATATTAAGTCTAGAACTGTAATTTACTAGTGGCATATAAAAAACTCCTAACAAAAGGCACGCACAGAGAATTCTTTCAAATAGTTTGGGGTTGGTTCTCCATCCTTTTTAGAGAGATTAGACACTTCAAATAGGAAAAAAAAGCTACAGTGAGTCTTACTTTTCAACTATGGTGGCAATTTTTTATTTTTTTTAAATGTCATGAGCCCCACAGATTAGTTCTGTGGGACTGCTATTCGGTTCCATTAGAACACAACACAACTTTCTAACTGAACAGTGTTTTGATTAAAATTGCCACCACCACAAAGGATGTCATTGAATGGCTAGCCCACATAATGCAAAAATAAGACTTCTTTTGAAGAGAATTGGACTGCCCATCTTAGTGAGCTGCACGGTATTCCTTCAGCATGTCCACTTTCCACGGAGATGATGTTCTGTGCAGAACACAGACGCCATGAAGTAAATGGAGTATCAGAACTGCAGCCCACTCTAGCATGACCAGCGTCCACATGACTCATTGTTATTCAAGCTAACATTCCAGATCTATATGAGCCTGGGATAAGCAGCCATAAGCAGCTGAGACAAACGGATCTATTGTGACCCACGCAATGGTGCTAATTAAATATATGGAGAGGATTAGAAAGGAGCAATTGCTTGCTGCTGCTCCTTTTTAGCATTTAAGCTTTACGTAGTTCCTTCCATACTCGTCATAAAAGAGTTGCTCAAGAGTTACTTCCATTAATCCTTTGATTTTTGCCAAATGCTATGTTGGACCATGGGTCATTCTAGCCTAGTATTGCCTGCAACATTCAGATGTGTTGACTATAAATCCTATCATCCTACTGAGGACAGTTCTGAATGGGGATAATGGGGCTTGTAGCCTAAACACAAATGGAGGCAACTAGGTCAGAGATGCCTTGTCTTTGCTGACTGGCATGGGCTGTTCAACAAGAGCCCTTCCCAGCCTCACTTGGAAGATGCCAAGTACTAAACTTGAAAACTTTTAAACTGGCAAGCATATACTCTGCCACTGGACTACTATCCTTCCTTTCTGATTTGCTTGGAAAAAAGAAGAAAAGGATAATACATTGTTCACATTTCTAACTACTCTTGCTTAATTGGTATTTGGAATAAAAATATTAAAGCTTTTTTCTGATAAGTGTCAAGGGTGAATTCACAAGCCTTGAAGAAGCCACAAAAGATCAGCAGAGCGGTACAAAAACACAGACAGCAAAACTCCCATCAGAGGTGTTATGTAAATCAGGAAGAGGCTACAAAAACATCTATATGACCTTGGAAGGACTGCTGATCTACTTTGGAAAAGTGAAACTGCATGTTTAGCTTCTTTCAGTTTAAATTGCCCATGAAGTAGCAAAAGATGCTCAGATCCAATTGAGTTAAACCTGTAAATCCACGAAATAGCCAGTTATTATGACACAAGTGAAAAATCATGTGGAAACAAAATTAAATGGCGAAATTTGTTATTTAAAATATGCCAAACAAAATAAAGGAAAGTCGTCTTGAGACATTTAGTGAAAGACGGGATAAAAAAGTTTTATTAAAATAAATTATTAAAAAAGGACTTGTGTGATTGCATACTCCTCTTTTGTCTAGAGTCTACTTCACTTTTGGTAACACATCAAGTTGCAACAGAAAGGTTCCAGGCTATACTTTTCACAGTCCATTTATATGTTAAAAATGCCATTCTACAAACATGCTTTCAGATTGTTTTAAAAACATTTTTCAACATAAAAATTACAACGAAAAATTACATTTGGATGTAACCTAAAAGAGCAGAAATTACTGCAGAAGTACTTTAAAAGTAGCTGAATACAAAGGGACATGTTAAAATACATTGTATAAAGCACATGCTCTTATTTTAAAATAGTTTCACTGATTAATATTTGATTTTAACACAATGCTACTGTTTCCCTTTTACTGTGTTAATTATTACAAGAGTTAGCAGTCTGACCTGAACTATTATTCATAGCTGTCAGAACTGGAGGAAAAAATCCATTAAAAATGCTCCTCTGTCTTTATACCATTACTAAGCGGCTTCAGGGGTAACACTAGCACCGACTTTGCAATGATGACATTCAGAATGATTTAAACCGGGGATGCAAAACTTCAGCCTGAGAATCCAGTTTAGCCCTCCAGGGGTACACAGAGGCCATGCTCCCTTCCTCTGGTTCCACTCCCTTTTTCTGCAGCCAACTGGTTTTCGTGCAGTTTTTTCTTCATCAATCTAAAAAGTTGAAATGCATCTTCCTTTTTAGACCCAATCTATGTTACTTTGTTAATCTTTATGGGAGGTGTAATACAATAGATATTCTTTTTGTCCAAAGGGCCAATAAAGACCCTGATGGTTCAGCTACCACTAAACTGCCTTCCCTGAACAATCGCTCCAATGTATAACGATGTTTTCTTTAAGGTGAGGTGTTTCACTCTCAAGAGAAATAGCTTCTTCCTTCAAAGAAGTGCTTTGCCCATCAGTGCTTTAGACTATCACAGTATTATTTATGGCGAGGAAGGTCTGAAAGTC